TCGCCAAAATCCGACGTAAAACGCGGATCCCGGTCCGATAATATGGACTCGGGCATCCCGTGTAGTCGATACACGTGATCTAGAAACAAGAGTTCAGCCTCTTTTCCTGAGATCTTGGTGCTACATGGTGCCAAATGTACCATCTTGATCAGTTTGTCTACAAAGACGACGAGCCCCGTCCTGCCTTTATGGTCAGGAGGTAAGCCAAACATGAAGTCCAAATTGACCGCCTTCCAACAATCCGTTGGAATCGGCAGCGGCTTCAATGGCGAACTGTTTGAAGGTGCAGGCTGTATGCGCTGGTACTCTTCTCAAGAGCGAATATATTTGGACACCATCGATATAGGTGTGGACACCAACATTCCTATGACACTCGTGTGGCGAAGCGAACGAGTGAATTTGGCAAAGTGTGATCGCATAATTTCGGTTAAGTCCAAAATGGCCAATATTGATGAATCGCGATCTCGCAGAAAATTTTCGAGATGATGGCAAATGAGATGGAAAACAGTGAATGGTGGAGTTCGCAGCTCTATGTGAATTTAACTATGACCTAGAAACTACGCATTTGCGATCTCCGGTATCTTTCGATGGTGATCCGCGTGAACGCGATCGTTAAGAAGGAGGATTGGTACCTCCAAGTATGTGGAAGACGGTCTGGTGTAGATCACGTCGCTATGGAAGACTGGAATGAGGTGGAAATGACATGTCATATAGATGGACCATCTCACATGACCCGAGGAACGGTGAAGAGGACAAGTCGTGATCCGGTGGACCGCGATCCGATACTAGTTATTAGTACCGCGATCCGATACTAAAATAAGTACCGCGATCCGATATAAATTATTAGTACCGCGATCCGACACTAATTATTTGTTCCGCGGTCCGATACTAAAATAAGTACCGCGATCCGATACTAAAATAAGAACCGCGATCCGATACTAATTAATAGTACCGCGATTCGATACTAATTATTCGTACCGCGATCCGATACTAAAGTAAGAACCGCGATCCGATATTAATTATTAGTTTCGCTGTCTTGTCTCGAAGTCTGATCTGCGCGATAATGCTTCAGCCAAGACATTCGACTTACCCGGCTTATATTCAACTCTGAAATTAAATTCAGAGAATAATGTTAGCCATCTCGCCATTCTCGGCGAGAGGTGCGGTGACTTTATAGCGGTCCGCAGTGATGCGTGATCCGTATAAACCACAAAAGGTTCGGTGCCCAAGAGGTGCACCCGAAACCTCACAAGGGCATACTTGATTAAAAGTAGCTCCTTGTCATGCACAGGGTAATTCAGCTCGGCAGCTTTTAAAAGCCGAGACTGATACGAAATGACACGGTCAACGCCGTTTTCATCCTTCTGCAGGAGTGCGCTGCCGATTGCAAAATTGTTTACATCGCAGACGAATCTAAAGGGCTTATCCGCGTCTGGCAATGCCAAGACGGTGCCTCTACAAGAGATTGCTTCAATGACGTGAACGCATCTACTTGCTCCTTTGAACAAATCCATTCTGTATCCTTTTTCAAAAGGTCAGACAATGGCTTAATCCGCTCCGCATAATTCTTGCTGTACTTATGCAGTAATTCGCGAGACAAAGGAATTGGCGCAGATACTTCACGTGTCGTGGTACTGGCCATTCCTTTACAGCCTTAACCTTTTGTGGGTCTGCTCGTAGGCAGGGGCTGAACTTGTGCGTCGTACACGTTGGTCTTTCGCACCTCCCTTCGGGTTGGGAGATCTTTTGCTGACTGCCTTAGCACTAGCAGCAAGTTTGGCATAGCAGTGAGCCATCCAAGGCCTCGCTTGCCGCACTTGTAGCAGATCACATCTACATTGCCTAACTCCATAGGAGTGGCATCCGACTTTTCGGCCGACGGCTTAAATTAGCTGTCGCCGGGGCACTGTTGTAGGATTGATCCTTAACCATGTCAATATCGATTGCCTCTTCCATCGTCGCTGGCACCTTTCTGAAAAAGGCCTGACGCGATGGGCCGTGCCTAAGTACATTCATGAACTTGGCCACCTTGATACGTTCCTGTATCGGTTCCCCATTAATGGACGCCGACAGCGAACGCATCTCCTGCACAAATTCTTGCAGAGAGCGTTTCGCCTGTCGTGCTCCAAAGAAGCGCTCCATAAGCAACACTTCGTTGTTAGGCGGCTGATACATGGCGCGAATCTTTGCCTTAAAGATCGCCCATGATGGAAACGCATCAGCATTTGCCATCAGCGCAGAGTATGCCTACTCTGACGCTTTGCCACGCAAGTTGGACATGGCATACGACACCATTTTGGTATCGTCTTCGATGAGCTGCGCCATACCGCTTTGATACACGGCTAAAAACCAGTGGACAATCGTATGTGAGACAGTCCCACCAAACTTCGGAGGATCCATCCGAATGGGCCTCGGTTGATTAGACCGAGAAGAGAGCGTCTCAACAGTTCTGTTGAGCGCCTCATTACTTGCCTGCTCAAGCCTAAGCTCATACTGAGTCTTAGTGATGGACTCAGCGGTGGCTTGGCTGTTTACCTCGGACGCGTTTCTACGCTGTCCGAGCACAAACGCGTCGAATTGCTCCAACTGAGCAACATGTTGCTCAGGTAGACAATTCAAGAGATTGGCCAGGGCTTGTTCACCAAGTCCCTGCGCCATATGCTCTGTCACCTCCCTATGATGTTGGGAGAGGTGAGGAAAATCACCCCAATTCGCATTGAGGGACATCCGTATCCACACACACTCTCAGAGACGGGTCGTGGGAAGGATTACTAGTGCTACCAAGTGTAGACGGGCACTTCGAAAGAAGCTGCCACGTGCTACGAGCACACACCTTCAAGCACTTTGAGGAAGCGCTTAAACCGTTTTACCATCTGCGTGCGATGGTGGAGTTGGTTGGCGCCAAAGCGCTTTACCAACCGCTGTTGGTCGTCTAAGCGAACCGCGCAACCATCTGTTTTAACAAGTGTTCACTTACAACATGCAGAAGCTTATTCAGCTTCTCGTCCGTAGTGAGCTAAAAATGGCAAATTTTTCTAAAAGGTTGAAGAACAGTACCAAGTAAGATTGTAGACTAAGGAACTATTTAAATAATTTATTAGGATTTTTAGATCGTGCAAATGAGAGATTGTGAGTAGAAGGAAGATCCTTAGTTGGCAAACTGTTTGTTACCAAGGATTCGTGATCTAGGATTTCACCTCGGGGTCGATTTACTTGAAGATGATAGGGTCTTGATGCACAGTAGCATATTAGGAAGACTGCGAAGTCTACCATATAAATGTGTACACTTATGCTGGAACACGCAATAATATGCTCCGTGTTGTGTAATGAAGGTGTCACCTTTGAGGTTCCCCCCTGGTGCCTTGGGTAAGCACCGGCCTGTGTCGTAGGTGGCGCAGGTTTAAATCCCCCTTCGACCAACCCAAGGTCTCAAAACAATGTGGCTCACACTTCTCTCACTGGTACCTCCCGGGAACCCTGGTACCAGTGAGTACGGCCTCTCGTAGAAGCATGAAACCCCAATACAGAATAATTGGAGCTATCCGAACTGGTTGGCACCCAGAACATCCGGATAAACAAACCGCCCGTCCATGGCACGATAGCCATATGCCGGTTAGAGGATTAATGAGCCCTGCCGAAGAGGACAAGAATCAGGCCGCTAAAGAAATCTAAATGTGCCGGCTGGCCTATATAACAAAAAAAAGGTGTCACCTTTGGTAAGATTACCAATGCTGGAAAACGCTTGCCTCGCGAAAGATCACGGTCACGTGGGTAAACTACTACTTTTGCACGAGAATACACCAATACATAAATAGCGCTCCGATGGAACTGCATCATTAACAGTTGCTTGGAGCTCGTGTCAGTCAACGGGATCGAATGGTGCCGCAGTTTTGGGCACCCTCACGCAAAAACGTGTATTTCGATACTGTCAAAGGTTCGCTGCGAAGGTACTTTAACTCTTGTAAATGGTCGCAGTGCCCGAAACTGATCATGCTACGATTCTAAATTGTCGTATGTGTAGTAGCTTCTGTAGAAAAGTTGCGATTTGGAACTTTGTTGCACTTGTGTGCGAAGAGGTAGAAGTGGAAGTGAATATATTGGAATGTTATCTTCGTTCGCTAACACTGCAAAATAACATGCACTGCAACTTGACCATAACATGATTGCGTCCGTCTCTCCTCTTATCGTGTGAGTCGTCCCCATGTCGCCCAACAGGTCATGTCGCTGTCTCGTCCCGCCACCTGTTCGGCACCGTCTTATCAAAACAACTGTTACAACGTCTGTCACAGTCGTCGCCTTGTCTCACCATCTGTCACCGTAGTCGCCTCGCCTCACCATCTGTCAAGTCATTTGAGGACTCGACCAATCAGGTGTCACTGTCACATGGTATAGCAGTTGAACCTGCAACACAACAATGACTGGCAAGACGTTTCTAAACAGGCATTTCTAACACTCCTCCTCGGTGTCAGCCTGAGTGGTCTTTAAACCGAACATTTCACGTAGCTCTTCCATTCTTGGCGCCGGCAATGACTTCGTCAAAATGTCTGCTATCATAGCTTGGGACTTGACAAACCTTGGGGCCACGATCCCATCCTTCGCGTATTTGCTGATGAACTTGAACCTGATGTCCACCTGCTTAGCGCTTGACGTGCTCTTCTCCGACTCGATTTGTTTGATAGCCGCTTGGTTGTCCATCCACATTGGCATCGGCTTGATCACGTTCAACCTCAATTCTTCGAACAGTGCCCTCATTCCCAGTAGTTCGCGTCCGGCTTGAGACGCCGCGATGAACTCTGCCTCCATGGTACTCAGCGATACTCCAGACTGCTTCTTGCACGACCAAAAAACAACGGAGCCATCCATGTTCAGAACACAACCAGATACAGACTTCCGGTCCGACTTATCCGCCGCAAAGTCTGCGTCGATCCATCTTTCAATACGCATGTCCTTCGACGCCGACCCATCACCGCCCAGATGTAGCTTTAGATCCTTTGACATCTTCAAGTAGCGCATGATCCTTTTGGCAGTCTTCCAATCCTTGACCGTCGGCTTGTGTGTTTGTCTCGTTGCCTTGTGCACCGCAAAACAAATGTCTGGCCGCGTGCACCTTGCGATCCATAGTAGGCTTCCCACCATCGACTGGAAAGACTTCACGCTTGGATCGTTTTTTGCACTTCTCGTTGACAGAAGTTCTTGAGCATCTTCTTCCTCGAGGTTGCATTCGTCGCCTATCGGAGTCCTCACTCCGTTTGCCGAGTCTAGTCCGAACTCCTTCAGCAGCAATTCGATCGTCACTTGTTGGTCCAGAATGTACCCCTTAGACTCGTCCAGTTTGATGCGAAGTCCCAAAAACTTGTTCACCACGCCCAGATCCTTGATTGACAGACACGCCATGTCCTTGAAAAAGTTGTCCACTGCGCTTAACTTAGTCCCTGTGACTAAGATATCGTCGACGTAGACTCCGACCACCGTGCATGTATTGCATACGTATTTGAAGTACAGACACATGTCCGTCGTGCATTGTCGAAACCCGCTCTGTTTCAGCTTCAAATCCAGTAGTTTGCTCCAGAGTCTTCCAGCCTGCTTAGGTCCGTACAGCGATTTCTTCAACAGCAGTGCTAAGTCGTTCGTCGATCTTGATTCCAGACCCTTGATCTCTTCTCCGTCCAAGGTCATACCTTTAGGCACCTTCATGTAGATGTCCAGGTGCTCCTCCTTTTCTGCTTTGACGTAAGCATTCGGCACATCACCGTGTCGAGCTGGTACCTTCCATCGTCTTGATAGCATCAGGATCCTTTTCACCGTTCTCAAGTCCATCACCGCTGCGAAGGTGAGGTTGTAGTCGACTTCGAAAACTTGTTCGTTCCCGCAGACGACCAGACGAGCCTTATATCGCTCTATGTCTCCGTTAGCATCCGTCTTGGTCTTGTACACCCACTTGTTGTGGAGCACGTGCGCATTCTTGGGTGGTGCAACGACCGTCCAGACATCGTTCGCCTTCAACGCGTCCAGTTCTTCGGTCATGGCGATCTTCCACTCTTGATGATGCTTGCTCTTGATCGCTTCTCCGTAGTTCTTGGGGTCTTGTGCTATAATAGCATTGACGACGCCCCTGGATACAGATCTATCTTCGCTTGACACCTCTTCAATTTGCCTTTTTCTCGTTGATCTTGTGCCATGGCGCTCCCTCGTCCATTCGGGCTTGCGATTCTTGTGATGTTTCACAGTACGTTGCTTGCCGCGACATCGTACCTGAGTTTTCGGTTTATCGACCATTGTCAACTCCTCCTGACGGCAAATTTCATCTTGATCCGATATAAGGTGACTATCGGTTGTCAACGATTCAATATTTTGAATATGTTGAGTCACCAAGACCACCTTGTCCTTGGGGATGTATACCTTGTACCCTTTCGTCTCATCGCTCTTTCCGATGATGATGGCTGTCCTTCCACGCTCTCCTAGCGACTTGTTTCTCGCGTTGACATGAACAGCGCAAACCGAACCAAAAGTCACGATGTCTGTCAACTTGGGGACCTTTTCGTTAGGATCTCCATCGGGGATACTCCACCCAGGTTCGACTTGGTCCTGCTTCGATTTAAGATGTACGTAGCGTGCTCCGCTGCATCCCCCCAGAACGATAAAGGTAGATTCGAGGCGAATACCATGCTTCGTACCATATTCATAATGGTACGATGCATGCGTTCAGCCTTTCCGTTGCTTGCTTGGTTCCTGGCTTCGCTGATTTGACGCGAGACTCCCGTTGCCTTGCAAAACACGTCCAAAGTCTTGTACTCCCCGCCTCCATCAGTGCGTAGCACATGAATTTTAAGGTTGAACTCGCGTTCAAATTGCACGAGGAAGTACTTGAACTTGAGTGCAGCAGCGTCCTTAGTCTTGGCCAGGAACACGCGGCAATAGTTGGACCGGTGATCGATGAAGTTGACTAGATACCGGTTGCCTAGACGATCTCGTGGGGTCATCGGTCCTTTTAGATCACTTCATATCACCCCACCTATGAAATCGATGAGTGTGTGGTGGAGTGGATTCTCAAACGACGTGAGAGAACCACAAACACACACAGCGCCGGACTGCCGACTTACGGAGGGGGTACCCCGATACCGTGTCGCGTCAACCTTGGGTCTCACCTTGTGTACCCGTCGGCTTGGCTGGTCTTGCTCCTCGTTAGACGCAGAAGACTTAAAGACTTGACCCTTGTATGGAGGGACTTGGGGGCCACGAGTGGATATGCTTCACTCGGGCCCAGGGTTTCTTGGGCTCAATCGACTGGGTCGAGAGCAGTGCACCTGGTACTATGTACCCCTTCGGTGGCTAACGGTTTCTTGGTCTTTCGACCCCTTTTCTTGTTCCCCGCAGGGAAACCGCTTCCTATAGCGGGTCGTAGAATGGGTACGAACCCACAGGCCAAAATACTTCCTGGGGTTCGTTCGAGCTTGAATCTTACCACACGTCTGTCTTCAACGGGGGGGGCCAAAATAAATCCCTTCCCCGGAACAGGTGGGTAGATCGAAACAAGCTCGCACTTGAGTCTTGACACTAACTTGACACCTCAGGCCAACTATCCTGAGGTTCGACTTGCGTTGCTTGAGCCGTCACCTCACCTGACGTCGGTGGGCCAAAGGGTATCCCGCCCGGAATAGGTGAGGTGACGGAGAAGCTTGAAGGAAGCTCTTGGAGCTGCCACGTGTAATGCAAATTCGAGTGTGTTTATTTATCTTATTCTCTGTATGCTTTTCTTGCCAAACCCTAACCCTTCGCTCTGGATGGTACCACGTGTCAACTTGTGGAAGAACAACTGACTCTTTTAGGACATGGGACTTGTACCGGCTCTGCACTTTAAGGAAGCCTTGTGCCTTCTATTCCCTGGGGTCCACCGGTCACCTGGGTCCACCGGTCACCTAGGTCCACCGGTCACCTGGGTCCACCTGTTGTCTGGGGTCCACCTGTCACGGGGGGCCCACCTGTCACCTGGGGTCCACTGGACCTGGGGTCCACCGGTCACCTGGGTCAACCTGTCGCCGGGGGTCCACCTGTTACCGGGGGTCCACCTGTCACGGGGGGTCCACCTGTCACCTGGGGTCCACTGGCCACCTGGGTCAATCTGTCACCTGGGTCAACCTGTCACTGGGGGGTCAATCTGTTACCTGGGGTCCACCGGTCACCTGGGTCCAACAGTCACCTGGGTCCACCTATCGCCTGGGGTCCACCTGTCACATGGGACCCACCAGTCGCCTGGGGTCCACTGGTTACCTGGGTCCACCGGTCACCTGGGTCATCCTGTTGTCTGGGACCCACCTGTTACCTGGGGTCCACCTAAGCTGCCCTAGCAGCACTAGTCCTTTGGTCTGTAGTGTAGGACATCCTAGTACCTTCTCCGAACTCGGGACCTTGGACCAGTTCGGGGCCCTGGTCACTCCCTGTCACTCATTCAAGAGAGTGACCGAGATCTTTCACGCCAGTTATTATAATAACTTCGAAGGCCCCCCCATTTCTCTGGCACTTCTCCACAGCTGGGCCCCGGTACCCCGGTACCCCTGGGCCCCGTTACCCTGGTACCCTGGGACCCTGGTACCCTGGGCCCCGGCACCCCGGTACCCCGGGCCTCGGTACCCTGGGCCCTGTACCCTGTACCCTGGGGCTCGGTACCCCGGTACCCTGCACCCTGTACCCAGGTCCCTGATACCCTGGTCTCTTGTACCGTGGGCTCTTGGACCTTGGATCCTGTACTGTCTCTGCACGTAGAAATACCTTGTACCTTCTTTGAACTTAGGACCTCGGACCACCTCGGGGCACTGGACCCTTCGAATCCTGGTGTGCGCCCGGTAGGGTAACCTTGTACCTTTGACCCTGGACGTTCGATACCCCTGTCTCCGATTGCTGGTACCCCTGTCCCTGGTGCCCTGTCCCTGGTGATTGGAAACCTTGTCCCTGGCTACTAGAAACCCTGTCCCCGGTAACTGGTATCCCTGTCCCTGGTGCCCTGTCCCTGGTGACTGATACCCTTGTCCCCGGTTGCTAGAAACCCTGTCCCCGGTCACTGAAAACTTTGTCCCTGGTGACTAGTACTCCGGTCCCTGGTGACTGGAAACCCTGTCCCTGGTGACCCTCGGTTGAACCTTGGAACCTTGCGAGGCCTGGGTTCTTGTACCCTGGTACCCTAGTCTCTTGTACCGTGGGCCCTTGGACCTTGGAGCATGTACTGTCTCTGCACGTAGAAATACCTTGTACCTTCTTTGAACTTAGGACCCTGGACCACCTCGGGGCACTGGCCCTTTCGGGTCCTGGTGTGCGCACGGTAGGGTAACCTTGTACCTTTGACTCTGGACGTTCGATACCCCTGTCCCCGGTAACTGGTACCCCTGTCCCCGGTGACTGGTACCCCTGTCCCCGGTATCTGGTACTCTGTCCCTGGTGCCCTGTCCCTGGTGACTGATACCCTTGTCCCCGGTTGCTAGAAACCCTGTCCCCGGTCACTGGTATCCCTGTCCCCGATAACTGAAAACCCTGTCCCTAGTGACTAGTACTCCGGTCCCTGGTGACTGGAAACCCTGTCCCTGGTGACCCTCGATTGAACCTTGGGACCTTGCGAGGCCTGGGCCCTTGTACCCTGGGGCCCCTGTACCCTGGTACCCTGGGGCCTTGGTACCCTGGGCCCCGATTCTCCTGGCACTTCACCACAAGTGAATTCATGCCAGTATCCACCTTCGATTGCACTTGCTTGGTCTGCTTGCCTTGAGCACACGCCAAGCAATTCATGCGTCTTGTGTCAGTCAGCTTGATGCACGATGCGGGGTCCTTGGCCATCTTGATGATCGTATCGAAACAAAGGTGGCCAAGCCGGCGATGGAAGTGCATCAAGGTACCACGCTGAACATCCGAATCGGATTCATATTCAGTTGAATTAATCGCTGCCACCATAATTTCCTTTGACATACCCATGACTTTCGCACGGTGACCTAACACCTTTACAACCAACACGTTGTTTATGCGGTCAACATTCATGATTGGTGCGCCCTTCGACCCGGAGGTCAGCACACGCCCCCCTCCTCGATATTCGAGTACGCATCCTTTCGCCTCGAGCTTCCCATAAGATATGATGTTTCGCTCGAGGTTGACTGGACGCATCCACAGACCGATCGGAGGACATGCAGCGTACTGAACTTCAAGGAGCCTTATTGTTTTCATGACCCCGAGCGCGACAACCTTGATGTCAACGCTCCCCTGCTTGGTCACTCGGAGCACATCTCCGTCGGAGGCTGCAGTCAAGCATTCACCCCGACAGTCTTCGGGGTTAATCAGTAGACTTAGGTCGTTGACCAAGTGTCTGCTGGACCCACTGTCGAGGATCCAGTGGTCCTCATGGAGGTCACCACTGTCCCCATTCGCGAAGGTGAAGTCAGCACCTGCACCCTTCTTCCGTACCTGCGGACACTTGGACCTTATGTGTCCAGCTTCTCCGCATTTGTAGCACACGCGCTCGTCGCTCACTTCAATGTTCCTTCTTGGCCTTGACGTGACCCTCTCTTTTGACTCCTTTCGAGTCTCGACAGCGTTCACCACATCGCGACCCAAATTCTTCACATGCGACTCAATCTCGACTTGTTGTGCGAACTGAGCCAACTCTTCGGCTTGTCTTAGGGAGTCGGGTCGGTGTATGTCCAACCTCGACAACATAGTCATCCTCATGTTTGGGTCCGCATAGTTAACGATGCCTTGAAGTACTAGGTTGTCCATACCTCCGCATGCATCTCTTACGGCCGTCAGATACAGGTAATGGTCCATCCAACTTCTGTGTGCTGCCTTCGGTGCCGTGAAGAGTTTCATGCTCTGTGCGGGTGAGATCTTCGTGCTGAAAGTTTGCAGCATCCTGGTCCAGCGTCTGGTTTTCAACCCACCATGACTCGACCTGCCGACGGTAGTAAATCTGGGCCTTGCCTCCAAGGTGTTGGCCCAGCACTTTGACCTTGATGCCCTCGGGCCATGCAAATCCGCATGCACGTTCCGCGAACCCAACTTGCCGAACAAATTCCTTGCCCCATCCAATGAACCCACTACCAAGTCCCTGGTAGAGTTCCTTGCCTTCAAATGGTTGAAGTGCGAGTTTTCGCTTCATCGCATCCGGTATCCCGTAGACTTGGGGTTCTTCTCCAACAAAAAACCTGTCCGGCAAACCCACACTAGGGTATGCATTCGGAGGTGCCTCTTGCCTGGGGCGAGCCGGTTCAGGTAACGCACCCATCCTGGCTTCCACGCCACCGTAGGCACCACGATGTGTTCCGTCGTTCCCGAAATCTTGACGCCGTCCACCAAGGTCGGCTGGAGACTTCTTCCGGGGAGGTGCTTCCTCCAAGGCCTGCAGGGTCATCCCCGCTCCTAGGACTGAACCGAAAAGAGACTCCGAAGGTCCCTTGACGTTCTTTCCAGCATGCTCTTTCTGTGACGACTCCAAGCGATTTAAACGTTCGCTGATGTCCCCGAGCATCCTTATCAGCTTTTCCATCGCCCCTATGGGCGCTGCCGGCTTCTCTTCAAGTTGTTCCTCGGCGGTCTTGTTAAAACTGTCGGTAACCTTGGTCGGTTTGGCTTGTGCAGCTGCACCGGCCTCGCGCTTGATCGTTGGGCTCATAACCTGTAGGAAAGTTGCGATTTGGAACTTTGTTGCACTTGTGTGCGAAGAGGTAGAAGTAGAAGTGAATATATTGGAATGTTATCTTCGTTCGCTAACACTGCAATATAACATGCACTGCAACTTGACCATAACATGATTGCGTCCGTCTCTCCTCTTATCGTGTGAGTCGTCCCCATGTCGCCCAACAGGTCATGTCGCTGTCTCGTCCCGCCACCTGTTCGGCACCGTCTTATCAAAACAACTGTTACAACGTCTGTCACAGTCGTCGCCTTGTCTCACCATCTGTCAAGTCATTTGAGGACTCGACCAATCAGGTGTCACTGTCACATGGTATAGCAGTTGAACCTGCAACACAACAATGACTGGCAAGACGTTTCTAAACAGGCATTTCTAACAGCTTCGACTAAATACAACTTGCACTTTTGGCCGCAATCTATAACAAGCCCGTCGCTTTTAGACCCTGCATAGTCAGAAACCCTAACGTTAAAGCTTGAATCTCTTGACAGAGAGTGATAGTGGCAGATGCAGTTTCAAGCGAGATAATCGATGAGAAGATACATTCAAGTCGACAACATATCCCCATACTATTTATTAATCAACATGTGTGTACTAACCAAAGAGTGTCTGCACGGTTGTAAGGCCTTACATGCTTTAACATTACAAGTCCTTTAGTATTCAATCATCGAAAGTGTAGTACTCCCACGGCTCAAACGGGTCTTCCCACTCCTCAATGTCGCCCGCATTGTACTGCATCATCTCCTCATCCGTAAGTAGACAAGAGTCCAATGCTGCACGGATCTTAGCGATTTCATCGTCTTCCTGAGAGAAGCGTCCGATGAACACGAGTTCTTGCGCACGATCACCGTGCTCACGGGCCATAAGCGTCGAGTAGTTGGGCAGTTCCTTCATTGTGCGTGTGCGCTCTTCTTCAGGCAAGGCAGCAATCCACATGCCACCGTTGGATAGTGTGCAGTACAAACCAGCCTGCGACCACGTAGCGTAGTTATAGGATCTAGTGCCCAGCCAGAAGACACCCTTGCTACGGAGTAGGTTCTTAAACAGACCATTCTGCTTGCCTTCCAGCCGCTTGGCGATCTCTTCCTTACCTAAGGGTTCGCCATCTTGCTCAGGCTTCATTTCCTGGTCAGCGGCTTCTTCTTCTTCTTCTTCTTCTTCTCTTCTTCTTCTTCTTCGTCTACTTCTTCCTCTTCTTCATGGTCATGGTTGTGACCATCGTCTTCGTCGGATGGGAATGGAGGAAGAGTCGGAGACTCTACAATGACGAACTCGTCCTGAATGATGCCCGTCAACCGTGCGGGGTGGAACGGCCGGTCTGCCTTGTACAAGAACGACCCTATTCCATATTCAAGAGTCTCAGGAGTGTGCGGAACTGTGAGAGACTCAAGCCAACCCATCTGGTTGGATGCACGCTCGAATGAGAACATGTTCGTGCCAAGAATTGTTTTAGGGTCGACTCGACCCTTAACTGTACGCTCAATTTTCGCGTACGAATTGAGTCGGCGAAGTACCTTCTCAATCGCTTCGATGTCCTTGGCAGATACCAAATCGGTCTTGTTGACTAGGATGATATCAGCAAATTCGATTTGATCGATTAGGAGGTCGGTGATTGTCCGCGTGTCTCCCTCAGGTAGCTGTTTGCGGTTTTCTTCGACGTCTGCGAGCATTCTTGGATCGTCGAATACGTGGAAGAAAGTAGCGGCATCAACGACAGTCACACACGTGTCCAGCAGCGCGATGTCACGCAACAACGGCAGCTTCTTGCCATCACGTACAAGCAGTTCGTCAAGTTGGACGGTCCGAATTCCAGACGAAGCCGCAGGCTGTGAGGGCGAACTGACGGGACTGGTTTCGTCACCCGACGATGCACCGGAGTCGGTGCGAGACCGCTTCGAGTTACTTGGAGATAACATAGGATCCGCCTTCATCTCTTCGGTGCCTTCCGGCAGCTCGAACACGAAAGTTTCTGCCACCTGCATAGGCTCACTGATACCTGAACTTTCGATAATAATGTAGTCGACCTCACCCTGTTGCGCGATACGAGCAATCTGCTCAAGTAAGTCGACGCGTAGGGTGCAGCAGATGCAGCCGTTTTCGAGTCGGACGAGCTGCTCCTCTCGCTGAAGCACGCCAGCTGACGCAACAAGATTGGCATCGATGTTGAGTTCACCCATGTCGTTGACGATAACCGCCACACGCAGAGCGTGATCCTTATTCTTGAGAATATGCTGCAGCAACGTGGTTTTGCCGCTACCGAGGAAACCCGACAACAAGGTGACTGGAATTCGATTAGCCTCATTTTTCTTGTCAGAGTCGTTGTTGAGCGGCCGCTTGTTGGTCGGAGAATCGGCACCAGCCATTGTTTGAGGGTCGGCACCAGCCATGGTCGAGTAGGTCGGACAGACTTTAGACGGCGGATTCGGAAATGAGCATAGAACCACAGATCCAACTCACCACACCAATGAATCTAGTAAAGTAGCTCACCGAAACCAGCCATCTTGCTCAACCGATCTCGACGGTTGTCCGACGACTTGTCGCCGTCGGCAAGCTCAAGTTTCGTGCAAGTTTTAGTGGTGAAGGCATGAAAAGAATTTGTCCGACGACGGCGTCAAGCTTACAAACCCGAACCACACTCTAATCAGCCGATCATCATTTATCCGTCGTCGGATTTTGAGATCATCGTGCAAGCAGTGAGCTCTTTAGTGATAGTCTGAACAGCGATGACATCATGATAGTGCTAATCGGGTTCCAAGTCCTCGAATCATTCAGTTGATGTTCCGTTGATTCGAAGTATCATTATTGACAAGTTGTTAGCTATTGCTGAGAGTTTTTTCACAGAACCACCTTTTAGCGGCACATGTTTTTTCTCTCAAACTGCACTTTGAGCCCGCTCAGTGCTCGATACTGTACAGCCGTACTGCCAGCATGTACAAAGTTATTTGTTGGTCATCAAATCTAGATGCTCTTGCTACTATTTCTAGGTAGCACCTAATTTAGTCGTTGCCCCTTGTGTGACTACTGTCATGGACATCCGCTGTAGCCACATTCATTGTTGATCGATTCGTAACTGTAGATTACAAAATTCTTGTCAGTGAGATCGTCAACACTCGCTTTCTCGTCTGCCGGGTTTGAATGCTGCGAGGAGGGGATGCGAAGGTGCTGTGTGATCAGAAATTCGAATCTTTGAAGAGTTTTACCATCGGCGGCTTAGCAGCTGTATCTTGCTCGCCACCATGAGCGACATTAATTTCAGGGCAAGGCGTCCCTGGAGTGGCAAAGTTCCAGAAAGTAATTCTTTAGACAGTAATCTGAATAAAGCACCATCGGCATGGGCTCGGACAGGTGTTACATGTAAATTATTGCTTAAGGTTAAATTGGTTGACTTAACCTGTGTCAAACCGAGAGTATTCGCAGCTGCCAGCGCAGCAAAAGCCGCAGCGGCTTAATTTGAAGGAGTCATACGCAGCTTAGCATCGGTACAATTCTATCTGCTAAGTAATTTCTTATTGTAGGCCCTCAGATCACTGTTTAGGTATATGTTTAGTCATTCTATTCCAGACTTTTCTGGTTTAACGTCTAGCGATACTTTTCGTCGCGAGGCAAACAGAGAGCATGAGCTTGCGTACCTAGATGCCAGCCACTGATCAATTCACCTTCGTCTTTGCGACGCCTACCTATTAACTCGCCTCAAAGAAGATCATCCTGACCAACCTCACCACCTCCTTTCATTCATGTCATGTATTTCCATCAGGCACCATCGACACGGAATTTGTTCTACTAAATTCTTATGACCTCTAGGGTCGATCCGCGGTGGTCTTCTACGTCGAATGTCATCTTTTCGCACATTTGTAATGAATGCAAATTATGAACGGCCACTTCCCAATTCGCGCCTTCGAGCAACAACGGCCAAGAGACGAAGACCTTCAAAGAGCCGGTCAACCGGCCCCCTCCGACCAGGGCGGGAAGTCCCTCCAACGGGAGGCCCAGGATAAGAGGGGGGAGGTTTTCCCTCTGCTGCGTGCGCTATGAGGGGCAAGCGCAGCGTGCTAACCGTAAGGGGAGCACCAACCCTGTTACCCCCGGGGGGAGAGGATCGACGACCGCGGTTATCATTTCCTCTTTCCCCAATAGTTCCTGCTATTCTACGTCAGCCTTCAAGCCGCCGATTCGATCGCCGAGCGCGAATCTCGGTCCCACGAAGTGAACTTGCCAAGAACGTGAATTGATCGGCCCCGTCCAGGTGCATCAGCGGTCGATCGGGACTGATCGGTGTGGTGCCCGGCGCTTGTTGCGATCATTGAGCCACTGTTTACACCTCGGGCTGGATACCCGATTCCACGTGCCCTTTTCGGAGTGTCCCCCGTGACGCCCGACGTCTCGAGCCAGCAGATTGAGCCAGCGAGGCGAAGAATGACGAAGTCCTGGTAGAAGCACTCCAGACATCTTACCAATCCTTAATGTTTGAAATAGACGGTCTGTTCTTCTCACAAATTATGAACGGCTAATACAATCTGCCAATCATCCTCGGGCTATTAGACTGCATATTCATGTTACTCATTTACATACATACAACAACAACAAGCTAGAATCCGTCGGTCAGCCATGTATACACTTCCATCTATACACGCTTCGTGCAAACTTGGCGTTGTTGCCGGCGATGTAGAAGACACATTTGACGCTAAAGAAAAGCATGCTAGATCTTCATTGACGACTGCCGACGATAACATCGCAAATTAGGTCATTTGCGATGTTATCGTCACTGACTTGGAAGCGAAAGGAATTGCAAAGATAGCACCATCAGTGTCACACCTCAGGCCATAAATATGTTATAGCTCGTACAAGCTGGATCCAGCTTCCCGAGTGCTAGCGTCGTCAGTACTCGCTGCTTCATGCAGATAGTGCAGTGCTTCGTGCCGTCCTTCTCTGCCAATTGCACTTTCCCAACTCTCCTGCCATTCTAGTGCACCACAGACTCGAATGCTGTGCGTGCTATTTACCTCTTTGCCTCCTTTATATGGTTAGTTTTGACGTACCTTTGCTACAGCATTCCGTTACACTTTTGACATCCTTTGCGGTTGTTGCGAACGATTTTTTGCTTGTCTGGTGCTAGTTCTAAGCTCGTCATTGACGACACCTTAGTTATTGTCGCCGCGTTCGACTTCGTCACCGTGTGTGCTAATGGAACCGCTATCCACTCGTCTTCTTCGTCGTCATTCACCTCCATATTTCTTTTTGTTTGACTCACAGGTCTCATCCTCATTCACACATCTTCTTTCATGTTTCGGTGCCGATTCTTCTTACCAAATGTAGCTTGAATCTTCGCAGCAGTTTTGCCGAGAGCACAATTGATCGTTGCAAAGAAACCGTGATGTATCTTAACCGTTAACATGGACCCAGAAATCAAATTGTCTTAAGAATTTGACGAATATGAATCGACGAATATTACATGACACTATCACCTAGGCGTCTCAAGTACGAACAAATATCCAGTATTGAGGATCAAGAAATGATGAACGAGGACGCGGGGTCGAGGATCAACTATTGCATATCGATCTTTTAGGATCTACCTTTGAGGATTCATGGCGCCAGGATGCTGCATAAGGGATAAAGAACTGAGATCGAAAACTCTACGTATTGTAATCTCACATCGATAAGTTATGGCTCCGAAATCGAGAGTCAGAATAATTTGCTATGAACCAGGCAATGGAGAGGATTATGGACCAATTTAAGAGGCATAAACAAGCTAGGGAAATTGTCAGGCTGAAAGCCTGCTGTAGAAGAAGGACTTGCGTTTCAAGATGCGAGTCTACTCTTCGTCAACAATGTACTTACCTAGTCTCACTAGCCTTGTTTTGCGCGTCGCAGGTCAAAACGATGTCAAGTATCTTCACATACAGCCCCAAAATAAATCCTGTCGCCAAGGGTGTGCATCCCGACTTTCCATACATGCACACTTACTTGTTCGGCAACTTGACGATTGTAAGACCTGAAGGCTTTAGGTGGTATGAACTAGAAGATTGGCAATTGAATCCATTCTGCACATCAAAACTAACTTCTGCCGCAGGAGATGCAAGCGGTATTTTATTTCAGCTTCAAGCCATTAAAATAGGCTATCGACAGCTTTTCGAACTCGGTAGCCCGATGTCAGGGAGTGCTTTAAGCCTCACTAGCTCTTATAACACATGAGTAATGTCAATATCAGCATGTCGTCTCACTTCCAGAGGACCTCGACAGTTTCATCGATTTCTTTTCTGTATATCGCTTGGAGCTTCTTTGCCACTTGCGGGTCATTCTGAAGTAGATCCAAATTCTCTGGCAAGTAGCTCCTTCCTGGTCGCATCAGCTCCGACTTAGATACCATAGCACTTCTCTTTGCCTCCATCCTTTTGCTTGATGTACTTTGGTAAGTTATGGATTCGAAGTAACGCGCCCCAGCGTAGCGTCTGTCAAAGATATCCATTCTGCAAAAACAAACAAGCTGTTAAACGCTTTTCCAGTTTGGGTTGTATGTCAAGCGCTTTTTGTTCACTGGTTTGACTGTTCGTTCATAAATATCGCCTTGCTCGCTGATTTGACTGTTCGTTCATAAATATCGCCTTGCTCGCTGCATATTCTGATACCTGTACTTGTTCACATCATGTCGATCTTACGTCTTCAGTGCTCTTCAGCTACTCCTTCGTCGGTTCTTCCATTCTCTTCTTCGGCCTTCGTCGTCTTCAAAGCTTCTGCCACTTTCACCATTGCATCACCTTTTTGGTCCATCGATGTATCAACGGCTTCTGGCGTAGTCTCCCCTTCAGCAGCTTTCTCGTTTTCTAGCTCCAGCTCAATCTCTTCGCTCTTCTCTTCCTCTTCTTCCAACAACTCTCTTGGCACTGATGGCGTCAAGAATTTTGAATTTTGGAGCTCCTCCTCTTCTTCCGATGCTGAGTCATAAAACGCGTCCAGCTGTGCTGAATCCGCCGTGACGACCAAATCCACATCGTCCAGCGTCACCTTCTCCTTCTCGTCCTTCTCGTCCTTCACCACTGTCGCTTCCGTAGCCGCTGCATCTGCAGCACGCGCCACAAGCGTCTGATACGTTCTCAAGTCGTTCATGAAGACGCTGGCCAGCTTCTGTTGTTTCATCTCGAGCAGCTCGCGTTTGCGGCCTTCAGACTCTTTGGCAATCCTAGCTTCAAAGTTCTCGAGCTCTTGCTGCTGCTTGACCGCAAACTCGGCGTTTTGCTTGGCTGCACTTTCCTCACAATGCTGCACCAATAGATTCTCCACTTGTTCGGCCTCGCCAGCCACTCTAAGCACCAATTTTCGGACTCCTGCGAGCTGTTGCCGCACCTTAGAGACAAGATGAAAGTTCTGAGCTAAGAATTGTTCACTGGATACTTGAGTCTGCAGTGTAAACCGAGCATGGGCCAAGGCAGCGTCGAGTTCCTGGCCACTTTTAGTGGAAAATAGACATACAAGAAAATATTCAATATCTCATAAACTACATGAGCTTTTTGCCTGCAAATTAAGCCACTAGCAGCTCAATCACCTCTTCATTAGTTTCTGATGCTTGGCCATGGTTTGAGCGTGTAGTTTCTGCTGAACACGAAGAAATGTATGACCCTCAGTATGGACGGATAAAGATGACGGTGTTGACGCTTCTGCAGTGACGGGGACACCGTTTGATGCCGCAATTTCGACAGAAGAGTTGCTTGAGACGGAACGGAAGGAGATGGAGCGGTTACTAGCGGCTGATAGCTCACGATCGAGCACTGACGAGAGCTCCCGTGACTTGGCTACAACATACTGGAAGCCCAGCATTTTTTTTTGACGAAATAAGAAAAAAATGTTACTCAACTGAAGAGTGACTTTCACCTGAAGCTGTACCTCCCTGTAGTAATACATGAGGCCTTTCAGTTGGAATATGAAGCCACCAAACCTTTTAATCATGTCGAGCATTACTAGCGTGGCACATTCTTCTAGATGCTTTGTACATGTTCATAAACTGAATGCAATAGCCAAACGAGATAAACTAGTGCGTAGGTGATAGTCAATGGACCAGATCATGGACAAGGCATCCATGTCCATCAATAATCATTAATCAATTAAGATCTAGCACTCGCGTCGTCAGCATTAATTTGTAGACTGCAACTGCTTGACTGGGATAGTCAGATGACTGTCGTACTATCCCAGTCAAGCAGTAGCAGTGATTTCATAGCGTCGTTGATTCTTATTCGCACTTGCTAATGGAAATCAACGACGCTATGGGAATCGACCTGATGTGCTTCTTATAAAGCTTCTTGGACCAGTCGGTTGCAAGCAACTGAAGCTGTACGTTCAAGAAGTACGATACGGCTTCTGAAGTCGTGTGAGCAAAGCCAACGAGAACGAGTCACCTGCTGGTAATTTGTAGCCTCAATACGGTGTCAACAAATGCACAGAGAGTATCATCGTGCATCTGAATCGCCTACTGCATCGCAATGGTATCATCAATTGCCTACAATGCACTCAATGTCGATCACGATGAAACCGGGTTTAATACTACCGACTCGATGCAATTGTGCGCACGAGAACTTCCATTCGGTTTGGCCCGACCACCAACAAAACCATAACAGCAAACGCAGAGCAAAGTACAACCTGTGCAAAGCGCAAGCGCAAAACGATGGCGTATCTTGGCGGGTCCCTTATTGCAGCTTCGATGTACATCTACCTGAAAACGACATCAACGGCGTAAAACTAGCCCGGACGCACATATGAGTCGCGTGACTCGCTAGTACACTGATGAAGCTCAATTTGACATCTTCACTTGAGCAAGAAAGCAACTCCTCCATGTAGACGAGCGTTATCATTTGTATGATGTAGATGCATAGCGCAAGTTTGTACGAGTGGCGGAATATCCGCCTTTGGTGACAGTCAGCATTCATGAAGATTCCAATCGCAATACAATCTCTTGATCGTGGTGAGCATTCCCGAGACGTTGGAAAACAAAGTAGAAGTCAAGAGGTCAACAGGAGTTCTTAGATTGTGGAAAAAGTGGCACTTGATGAGCTTTATGACAAGAAAGGTCTTTGCCGTAAGAAATTATTCATAATTGAATGGCATTTCACGACTCCTAACGTTTTCTTCTTGCTTACGAGTCAAACGCTCGCAAACCGAGCGTTTTGCCTAATTAACTAAATTCTTAAACCACACCAGGCTTTCGCTTGAGCTTGTCGCGCAGCCCTAGCGAAAAGCACCCATGCTCCACCATTTGGTGCGGTGGCACGAAAGAAACGGAGAGCGGGGTCACAACGTTGTCCTCTACACCGTTGTCGAGCTCGTCAAAACCACCGCGTCGACGCTGCTTCAGGTCCGCACGCCGCCTATGCTTGCTTGGTTGCTTGTTCTTGAATAAGTTATTCCTACCATTGGGGTCGCCGTCGAACTCCATCTTAAATATGTCATCATCGTCGTCTTCTGAATTCGTCATTTCGTCCACGTCTTCATTTTCAGTGTCCTCGCACACTTCAACAATTCCGTTCGAACATGTCGACCATCTCGACCTACTACCATTTTGTGGAAGGCCACATCCCGTCTTCGTGTCATTACCGGTGCAGCTGCTGTTTCGCTTCTCGATTTCTAGCGGCCTGCCGCCATTTTTTAGAATCATAGACGGTTCTTCCCACGATAGCAACTGCACCATGGAACCCGTCCAGTTCTTAGCGTTGGTACTGCTTCGCCGCCGACAGGATTCCAAGTCTCTCTCCAACAACTTCTCAGCTCGTGACGGGATTGCCGTTGGAGACGTTCCCGTAACACCTGTCGGGATCTCGATCGGCGCCGACACATGGGCCACTAATTCGACGTCACTCCTAGGTGCAAGTCTCCGTGGTCGAAAGAGATGCGAGCGCAGTCCAAACACATACGTCGACATTCTACCATCGGAAGGCGACGCTCCTCGCTTACTCCTAGACGACGAACCGGACCTGCTACTGCTCTGCCTGACCGAACTCGACGTCGATGTAGAAATATCCGACCGTCCTCTTCTACTGTTACCACTTAAAGGTCGACGCATTGTCTCATCCGTCACTGTAGCTGTGCGTCTTCGACTTGTCATCGTCTCACCACGTCCATTACTCGTCTGTTGACTTGCAGTACGTCGAGTGCCTTCTCCACTCGAGACACGACGTCTCCGTGACAAGTCCGGCGTGACAATGTTCAGTGCACGCAAGTAACTAACTCTCCAATTCTTGTCCTTATCAGCACTAAGAGCCATTCTCTGGCTGCTATTAGCAATGGGTATGTCCTGTGACTGTATCTGAAGTGTCATCATTCGAACCGAAGACACAACCAACAAGTACCAGCTACAGACAAGAACAACTAGAAAAGAGCTACCAATATGTTCCTCCTTCTGCTCTCTCTGTGATCTTTGATAGTGGTAAAGCCTGGTGTCAAAGAGGCAAAGGTCGAACACCTGCTGGTGCCAGTTGCGTCTTTTCCGAAAGCTTCTCTGGCCTCGAACTAACTGACTGATGAAACTTTTTTGTACTTGAATACACTGTGTTGCTACTGCAAAGGGTTCAAGTCTGGAAATGCCGGTCTTCAATAGCCTAAAAGTCTTGTAGTCAGTAGCGTAAAAATCGACAGTTGAAGCGTACTCAGGTCCTGTTCACCATCAATCCAAACGGAAAATGAAGACGGGAATTCAAGTGGAATTGCTATTGCGATTTTTGTGATAGTTTAGACTGTGAAACCTTATACATATATAGAAAAACCCGATCTACGGCAATAATGTTTTGTCTGTCTCGTCGTCAAGTTGGTTGGTTGGTGGCAGCCAAAAAAGTTTGGCTTGGTTCCATTTCATGCCTTCTTGACAGTATCTAATTTGTGTGCTTGTTGACTGAACGTTCTCAAAGCACGACTTTCATCCATTGAGCTTTGCGTAAGAAAGCTCGGAAAGGTTGACTACCTATTACGCATCGAATAATCGTTCGGGCGTAAGCTCTTTGTAACCGGATTAAAATGTTCCGTAGCACGAGACATTTTTACGAGACAGACAATGGGACTGACAAATGATCACGATAATGGGTGTCGTCGATATTAAACGACATAATTTGTATAGAAATGCAATGCCCTTCTTGGCGATTAAAACTTGTGCATTGATCTTAGACGTGGCACAGCATTCCGGCTGGTGAGATTAGTAAAAGCAAAGAAGACATTGATGCGAATAGCAAAACATAATCCGACCATATGAGGGCGCAAACGTGTGAAAGTGTACAGCACCGAGCGCCAGCGTCTTGTTGTGTGGCATTGACCCGATGATTGCAAATGACCAATGTAATCACATTCCGCACACGTAAAGAAAACATTACTGCCGCAACAGCAGGCAGTTAGAAAACCAGGCACTTGATCCCATCCAACTGGCGTCGTAACGGGTGTACCAACCACTTCTTACTTGCATTTTGTATGCATCTACATATGTATACATGTATAGTCAAGCTTCGTGTGTCAAAACGTGCACTACGGCGTTTGAGTCTGCCACAAATATGCCACCTACCGAGTTCAGTCTGCAGTACTGGCAAATGATGTACGTGTGCACAGTGCCGCTGGCTCCTAAAACGCTGGCCATTAGTTTTCGCCAGTGAGTAGAAAGTCAGCCAGAAAACTGAAGCATGTGGACACGTGCTTCAGTTCTCTGGCTGACTTTCTGAAAAGAAGAGTAGTACGTCATTGTCAAAAGACTCGGTGACTCGAGGTAAACTTTGACGTCCACTGTCATGTTCCTCCTTAATGAAAGAGCGTTACAATCGGATAAGTCGTCATCACTCGCTTCGGCAGTTTGACGCTCAGTATGTTGCGAAAGATACATAATAAGGGTCTTGTGGTGTGCTACTCATTCGTCTAGAGGGAAACTATGTGGCTGAGGGTCAAGAAGGTGAGACGTCGCAACATCAATCGTTTTCGTCGTAGCACCTCTGTTCAGACAGTGGTCGAAGCTATAGCTCCGAAGACGGCTAAAGCAGACGCTTCAGTGTGTTGCATAGCAGTATCGGCTTCACCATAGACATCATGCAGTTTTTGCAAGAGTTGTAGTACATGTCCAAAGAGAAAAAACTTGGAGCAAAGCAGCATTGCGGTGATGTACTGGCATATGACGCTAAAACCTTCGAATAGCGTGACAATCGATGATCGAGAGATTGTGATGCAGTACGTTTGCAGTCTTGACTCTCGAAGAATATAGTCATTTGCTACGACTACAAGTCGGCTCGACCGACGACGTGAGCACACCGTTATGTGCCACTTTTGGAACCACGTTTCGACACCGAATGTATCGTTGGACGTAGTACACTTGACTTATTACATTCGTATGAAAAAATACAGTATTTGTACTCTCGTAAGCAACACAAAGTCTAATGGCTCTCTCAGCATTAAAGGTCACAACGATACGACCACACAGCATTAGGCAGTGTCTACGTCTGTTCTTAATCAATTTACCATTTTTACTATATTCTACTATTACATACGCTACAATCATATCAATACATCCCATCAGCCGTTCCATACTGAATTGCTGTGGTTGGTGCACTGAACCTAATTCTTACGATATCCCATCCACAAGTGTCACTCGAGTTGCTCTCCATTCCTTCATACACGTCTCTTTTTCAAGTCTCCCCTTTACGTCTACCCTCTTGATACGCATTTGAAATCATCCAACCAATTTCAATCAAATTTCTTCACGACGTGGTCATGATATGGACGGCTTTCGCCGTCGCCAACATGGCGTTATCCAGTCTATCTACCGGTATGACAATGATAAGTATGCGACGTACCTGGGACTTACAAGTATCAAGTGTCCGATGGCTTTTCTTTTATTTCTTCTTGTACCTCTGGATCTGGAGTAGCACACGCGTGTTGTATCTGCTTTGGGTCAGTGTTTACCCTATTAAAACATCCCTGTCCGACTCTTCTTCATCTTCTTTCAATGAAGCTGAAGTGGTTTATGATCGATACAGTAAACTTGGCATTTACACTATCTTGCAACTAGAAGAGACACATGATGCCTTTGCGACGAGTTTATTGTGTTTTGGAGATGCTGCTCTTTTTGCTGTAGCGCTGTGGATGTTCCCGTTAACGTTTGAACTCTCGAATATTGCAGCTAAATCCATGGACAGAGGTGCCGAGAAGGAGAAGAAACAAATCAGGTTTTACGCTTGGACAGGGCATGGCTTTATGCTGGTTTTTGCAGCGGTCGAGACGACCCTTGCGATTGCGTACCAAGGCTACACGCAGTACACTCAACGATGTCTACTGGGGGTGTATTTTGTGCAGTTTTTTAGCTTCTTGTACATGATTTGGCTGATTGCCCGGCTCAAAATTGGAGGCAGGAAGTATGAAAATGTACAGGGACAGTTTGTCACGTCTCCAGTGTACCAGAGACTCAAGCGAATTATGATTGTCTATGCGTTGTTCTCACTGCAGTTTCAATTGGCTTCCGTTGTCATGTACGCCTTCACAGATGATGAAGAAAAGCTACTGGACTTTATCAGCGTTAGCTTGCTCATCTATCATCTCTCGGGCATGGCGCTTGCGGTAACTACCATGTGTAGCCAAGCGTGCGTGCTCAACATGTTTCGACCATGTCTACCTGATCATATTGAAGCTCAAGTGCAGACAAGGTTTATGCAGGGAGGTGATCTTTTATCTCCGAGAGATACACAGGTGCTAATAGAGTCAGCAGAGCCACCTCTAGTCAATCCAGTGTTCGTCTTTACCGACATTGAGTCATCCAGTGCCCTCTGGGCAATAGGCGACGGCCTAGTGATGCAACGAGCAACAGAAATCCACGATAATATTCTCCGCGCATCTTTGATGAAGTATCGAGGATACGAAATTACGACGGCAGGGGACGCCTTTCAGCTTGCGTTTCACACTGTTCGTGAAGCTGTAGAGTATTGTCTAGATGTTCAGCTCCAGCTGCTAGTCGCAAACTGGCCCAAGGAGCTCCATGGGATGCTGCCAGTGACAAGAAGACAACGTGTAGGCCACCGTCTCATTTTCGGAGGTCTGCGCATACGCATGGGTATTCACGACGCAGTGGATGCCGATGGTGCTTTGATCCTAGATGTGCACGCCGTGACGGGCAAGATGATTTACACTGGTGCATCCGAAGTCATCGCAAACGAGATTGGTGACTTGGGTGATGGTGGGCAAATTCTAGTGACCAAGCGTGTAGCTGACTGGCTTGTAATGTACGAAGATTTAGTGGCGATCGACTTTATCGTTGATAGAGTGGGCGAGTACTCGATCCCGCAAATCAAGGCGAAGCTGGAGGTATACCAGGTGTTACCTGAGGTGCTTAGCGGCCGTAAGAAGATGTTCTCCTCGACGCTCAGGAAGCGACGTGCCACCACGGCCTCGTCACTGTACTCGATCGCGTCGAGCAACCGTTCGCGCCTTTCGAGCAACGGTGGACCGATTCCAATTCCAATTCCAGAACAGCGACGAAGAATGTCGCGACCGCAGCCGTTGTTGCCACCTCCGGACCTCGAACCAGTACAAGGCGGACTCAGTCGCTTTGGTCGTGTACAGCGATCGTTTTTGCGCATTGAGCACGGCTCGTTCTACACCCGTGCCACCAGCATGTAGTCGGACTAACTTATTACTTTAAACAAGATAAGACTTGATTTTTTCATCAATGCTCTTCTCCATTGCATTGTCATAGTGATAAACGAAGGAAGTTCAGTAACGAAAAACTAACATTGAGTACCAGTGTGCACTCAATGGACCGTTTCGACAAAGTCGTTGTCGTTTCAATTTAAGTGTAAAACGGTACAAAGTGATTACCATAATTCAGTACAATGACAAAGAGTCCATTACTTGCGAGGCCTGCTTGGATGTCGTCCACCTGCAGTTGGTAGATAAGATTAAATATAACAAACTGCATAACTTGCTGTCATCAACCAAGAAGAAGCGCGTACGATGCAGTACTTTCCATTGTTACACTATTTTGAATGTTCAGGTGAAAGGAAATTTTTCAAGTCCTTGGGATAGTGCTGCCAACCGCTAAAAAAGTGCTTGACCACATGTGCGACCACACTCATCAGGGCTTTCCATTTGTCGGGAGTCTACTCAAGCACATGTACGGACAGGAAAGTTTTGCATTCGACATGCATTCGACATCAATGATGAATTTGAATAAACAAAATCTGAATGATTGATCACGTCATGTGTGAATATATCAACGTTGCATGTGTCATGTAGTCACGATTGCGTATCTGTTTCAGAAGAACAACTCTAGAGTAAGAAAGACATGCACGTCAACCAATTGTCATCTTCGACTGTCGCCTCTTGCAATTGCAAGTAAGAATTATGGTCAGTTAACGTCAAGTCGCCGGCTATTTGGGTCCCCGTTAGAAAACCGAAACGGGGACGACTCAAATACTTGTAGTGGCTGAAGTTTGAAGCAGTCGTCAACGTACATCACACGATCGGACAATAGTCAACACATTCAATAACAAAGTAAGAAACCCATCGGCCAAGAATACCTGTGCCGTTGAAGCAAACTTCATCCATTGTTTTGAATTCACCAATTTTTCCTTTGTGGCTTTTCGAAGAGATCAAATGTGGACATTAGTGGCCATTGTCACCGTCAGTTTGTCCTGCGTGGCAACGGGTGTTACAAGTTTTCGGCTCCGACGGTCATGGGACTTGCAAATTTCTAGCGTCCGTTGGCTCTTTTTCATTTTCTTCATGTGCTACTTTGCCTTCAGCTTCAGTCGCGTGTTATACATGATTGTGGGTATCTTCAATCCGGTAAAGTCTACAACAGAAGCAGGCATGGAATTGCTCGAAAACCGATACAGTGAACTCGGGGTCTTTGCTCTTCTCCATTTCAAGGTCTCACATAACGCTCTTGTCACTTTTCTGCTGGTCGTGGGGGACACGGCTCTATTTGCAGTAGCTGTGTGGACTTTTCCACTGGTGTACGAGCTCGGACTGATTGCTGCCAAGTCAATGGATCGAGGAGCAGGAAAGGAGAAGGAACAGATTCGGTGGTATAAATCGAGAGTTTGGATCATCGTTGCAATGTTCTTGATCGTGGAAACTGTGCTTGCAGCTGTGAGAAGCGGATACACTAGCTACACACAACGCTGTCTGCTTGCCGTGTACTTTACGCAGTTTTGGAGCTTCCTGTACATGGTTTTTCACATCGTGAGACTCAGGTGGGTTGGCCGGAAGTACGAGAATGTGCAAGGCCACTTTGTGACGTCACCTGTCTACCAACGCCTTTCGAGGATCATGTACGGCATGTGATACAACCCCACTTGGTTATAGGTCTTTGTGCTAACGTGGTGATGTTTTCTGATGCGTAGGGCCATCTACGCCGTCTTCACGTTGCAGTTCCAAGTGGCTTCTGTTGTCGTGTACGCCATGCCGGACCAAGAACACAAATTGGTGGACTTTATGAGCGTCAGCGCTGTGATTTACTGCGTTTCTGGGCTAGCACTCGCAATCACGACCATGTGCAGTCAAGTTTGTCTGCTAAACTTTTGCCGTTGCTGTCTACCTGATGACATTGAAGCGCAGGTTGAAGCTAGACTGATGCATCCCGGAGAGTTGCTGCCGCCGCAAATTACGCACGTGATAGTCGAATCCGTAGAGCCACCACTAGTTAATCCTGTGTTTGTCTTCACGGATATTCAGCAATCGAGCGCACTATGGGGAATGGGCAACGGTCTCATAATGCAACGTGCTACGGAGATTCACGACAATATTCTGCGCTCGTTGCTGATGAAATACCGCGGCTACGAGATTACGACGGCGGGTGACGCTTTTCAACTTGCATTCCATACTATTCGCGAAGCAGTCGAGTACTGTTTAGATGTACAGATGGAATTGCTGGTAGCTCCATGGCCAAAGGAGTTGTGTGGGTTGCTGCCTGCAACAAAGAAACAACGTTTGGGCCATCACCTTATTTTCTGCGGGTTGCGTGTTCGCATGGGCATTCACGACGCAATTATAGCGGATGGTCCGCTGATATTGGATGTACACGCTGTGACAGGCAAAATGACGTATACGGGCGCCTCGGAAGTTATCGCCAACGCAGTTGGTGATTTAGGAGATGGCGGCCAAGTTCTAGTAACGAAGCGCATAGCAGACTGGCTGTATATGTACGCGGATCTAGTGGCAATTCCGTGCTCTGTCGATCGTATGGGTGAGTACACAGTTCCTCAGATTAACGCATTCGTGGAAGTCTATCAAGTCATCCCAATCGAGCTAGCTAAGCGCAAGAAAAAGTTTTCGACAACGCTAAAGAAGCGTGTGACAGCGCATCAATATGACAGCGCCCAGTCTATCAATGATGACACACCTTCCGTTTTGAGCAATGCCGCCGCCGAACGTCGACGAAATCTGTACGCTTGGCGTGAACGTCGACGCCAACTGGAGCAGGGTGCACTTGATCGTCATGAGCAGCATGTAAACCAATTAATGTAAATAACCTTTGAAAAACTACACGGAACATTGTAATAGCAGACAAGCTCGTACAAACGAAGTTTATTGATCTGACAAAGAGGGAGATTCCAATGACTCCCGAGCGAGCTACTTGCATCGTCACTTCACCGTCCTTTGGTCCACTACTGTCGTGGAAAAACCCGTAAGAATGTCGGCGCTAAGTTGACTTTTGTTACTCCTCCAAAAGTCTTCAGATGAGGCAGGTGTAACTTGGTTGTTGATTGATTCCGAACTATTGCTTTAATGGCATGGTGCCGGTAGTCTTCATCGTAGGCGTCATAGGTGTAGGCATTGTCTGTGCGGATGTGACTCCAAGTTTCCGAATAGGTGGCACTGGAGCGGCTGGAGCGGCTGGAGCGGCTGGGGTGGTCGGGGGAGCAGGTGGGGTGGCTGGGGCGGCTGGGGCCGGTGGGACAGCTAGGGCAGGTGGGGCGGCCAAAGTAGGTGAGGCGACTGGGGCGACCGGAGTAGGTGGGACCGGTGGGGCGGCCGGGGTAGGTGGGTCCGGTGGGGCGGCCGGAGTAGGTGGGACCGGTGGAGCGGCCGGAGTAGGTGGGACCGGTGGGGCGGCCGGAGTAGGTGGGACCGGTGGGGCGGCCGGAGTAGGTGGGACCGGTGGGGCGGCCGGAGTAGGTGGGACCGGTGGGGCGGCCGGAGTAGGTGGGACCGGTGGGGCGGCCGGAGTAGGTGGGACCGGTGGGGCGGCCGGAGTAGGTGGGACCGGTGGGGCGGCTGGGGACGGTGGGGCCGGTGGAGTCACTGATGGAGTCACCATTGCGGGCGATACAGTGCCAACAATATCATTCCCCATATTGGCTTGCGAAAACGTATACGAAGTCAAGTCATCGCCGCTAGGAATCGTCAACCCCTTCTTTTGCTTCCCATCGGTCGTAAACAAACCGAAGTGCTTTTCGTACTCTTTCCCGGAAGAGGTCGTTACAGAGTCGTACATCATGAACCAGTAGGTCTTGGGCTTATGCTTGGAAAACTTCACAAAGTCGATCAAGTATTGCTGCATGGTATCAATCGAAGGCACATTACTATTGCCGTATATTTCACCGTCTGACGGCCATCCCGTCTCAGTCAAGTGTATTTTGCTTGCATCATACTTTGCCTCCATTTGCTCCCATTGCGACTGTAGCTTCTCGATGTTAGACTGCTTACCGTTCGTGAAAAATGGGTAAATGTTGACACCAAGAACGTTACACGCTGCTGCAAGCGTCCCCACTCCATCAGCCGAGAGCCACTCATTGATTCGCTGCACCGATCCGACCGGGGTGTCACCAACACACGCCTTGACGCGCGCAATGTAGCCGACAAGTTGTTCAGTGGAATAGGTACCAAATTCTTTGTTCTTGAAATTTTCGTTACCAACGAACACGGCTTCAACGGTTTGCGGGTGCTCCTTATAACCATCGCAAACAGCCTGAATCTCGGCGTCAATTTGCGCCTGGTCATTCATTTGCACACCAACTGCAACTTTGATACCGGATTGTGCTGCCGCTTTGATCACATTCACGTCTCCAAAACGCGCGTGGAACGTACGAATGCTGGAAAAATACTGTTTGATTTGGCTCATGTCCTTAATTACGACTTCCATATCGACGACTTTGTGATGCCACACAGAGTAAGAGACACCTAATGGAAGAACTTCAGCATTTGCGACGCTGATGGCGATAGCGGCCACGAAAGCGCCGAATCGCATGGTGAATGAATGACGAGTTAATTGTCTGGTTTCACTTAAGTAAAGCAAGCTCACTTCGTGAATGAAGTGGTTTGGAAATGACACAAGTTTGAACGAGACAACATGTTCGCGATACCATGAAGCCAGTGTTTCACGTCGGACCAACAACCCCGAAGGAATCGCCGATCCAGTCTTGAGGATTCTATGCAAAGGGATGGGAACAACGGGAGATGCGACATTGAGCAGATCCCGTGCAAGCTGCACAGATGGTATACCAAGTCTCGATCCGTCACAAGACGGATGACAAAATCCGGCATCGCTTTCAACGTTCCAGACTCGTAGTGTCTTATGACAAAGTTGTGTATCCGATAACCTCGTTGTGTATTCGATAGCCTCGTTGTGTCTTCGTTAGGTATTTATATAAAGCTTGTCCAACTTTAAAAGAGCTCAGCAGGTCGCAGCCCATTGCAACTGCGATAGGCTGCGACTTCAATACTGCATTCATTGCATGCAGCTGACGAGAGTGCATACGGTGCCTATGATCTCTTACATTTAACAGAAGCAGTAGTAACGGTAGGGTAGTAGTTTTGTGATGTCGTTTAAGCTTCGTGGCGACAGGAGTGGGAGCTGTGTTTTCAACGTTGACAATGGAGATGTCGTAGCATTAATACTGTTGTCGTTGTTGTCTTTTGTGACCGTACTTGCAACCACCGGGATTTTCGTTGTAGCAGGAGCATCCGTGCCTCGCCTAGTATCACCTTTTCGTTATCTTCTCGAGGTAAGAACGTCGTCTCGTCACCGGTGCAGCTCCTTGTCATGTCGTACATTAAGTACCATCAGCATTCTTAGACTACGAGGTGTAGTCGTTTAAGTACTGCTGCATGTTGTCAATCAGCACCACGTTGCTGCTTGCTGCTGTACTCATCGCTGGATGGCCAGCCGGCCTCCTCAAGTGAAATTTGCATGAGTCGTACTTGGCTGTCAATTGACATCACTGAGCGCTCAGCTTCTCGACTACAGTCAAATTACTTGGAGAGAAAAGATAAGGGTAGTTGTTGACCCCTAGCTTCTACCAGTGTTGCGGTTTCATCGGCTTTAAACGCGTTGGACTGAGAATGTCGTCGAGACAGCTTTCACCTCGTTAACATCTCACTACTTACACCTTCACGATCAATACCGTCGTCTTAAGCATGTCAACGTATTTCGCTGTCATGGTGTTCGGGGTTGATGTCAAGAGCGTGTTGGTCTCGGAATCAATGCCCGACAGGTCTGTACACTGCATAGCTGCAACTGCCGCTTGCAGCTGCCGTTTTGATAGCGTTGTATGTTTGGGGTCGAATATATACGTGCACGATCTCAGCCATATCCTTACCCGATGACGACGGTACTGTGGAGACTTGTCAATTGATCACCAGCCTAAACTGCGACCGTGAAAACAAACACTGCAACTCGAGGAACCGTGACAATAGGAAGCCATTAGACACTAATGTTAGAGATTCCAATAACTGGACTCGACATGCCAAGATTGGAAAATCTTTCTAGGTATGCTGGTAGCTGTCCGATACTTTTTCGTCCTAACAATCTATGGTGGGCACGTGACCCAGCTATCACATAGGCTAGAAGGACAGAGATACTATTGTCGTCCACAACATTTCTTATTACCTACCTGCCGTGACATTGAGATGGGGATGTACGCGATCGAACATCGCTGAGTCTGGGTGTAAAGGTGTGAACTGGCCCATAAGGATGTTTGATGATCAGACTGTCTATGGATTTCTTATGTTTGTGGGGAAGTTTCCTGATTTTCTGCCGTGACTACGTCGTTCTCCTATGCACTAGCTCATTCCGCTGGCACACCCTGATGAGCTTTACGGATGGACGCTCCATAAGGGCACGTGGGACCCATTGATCAATCACGAGCACATGCAGGGGGCAGATGGCGCCTCGAAAGGGAGGCAGGTACCTAATTAGCTTTTCTAGACAGGCCACACGCAGCGGAGTGAAGGCCTTCCCTCTCAACCTTGATTCTATGATAGGGGACTTCACGGCCAAGGTAAGAGGACCCGTATGCCAGCTCGTAAGAGGACTTCATCACTTGGTCGTTGTTGCACTTATGCCCAAATTGGGAAGTGTTGGCGCATAAGGATAGAGTGTTAGCAGTCTTGTAAGAAGCAAAGATAATATGAGACTTAGTAGAACACGGCATCAAAGATGATGCAGTCGGTGGAGAAAGACTCGATGTACAAGGTGCACCCTCAGCACTTTATAACTCACAAGCAAAAGCGTTCCGATACAATCACATGAATGAACTAGTTATAGCAGTTGACAAAGCTAATTTTCATTATCCACTTCCGATACATACATGCTAGTGCGTAACATCCGTGATACGAAACTTGTGTTCACGTAACGGGGTTGTCTCATCTTGAACAACCACCAATTCAAAGCGCTCTAAATGGTGCAGTCCTTGCCGGTCGGGCCCGAGGGCTTACCCGCCTCGTTATTTCCTTCCAGAGGCTTACCCGGCGTCGCCAATGTCTCTGGGGTCCGCATGTAGGGATCATCCACATTTGTCTCTGGGGTCCGCATGTGTGGAACATCCACCATTGTCTCCTGGGGACGTGTGAGAGGGTCACCCACCATTGTCTCTGTGGTGCGTGTAAGAGGGTCACCCACCATTGTCTCTGTGGTGCGTGTAAGAGGGTCACCCACCATTGTCTCTGTGGTGCGTGTGAGAGGGTCACCCACCATTGCAATAGGAGGTACCTGCTGCAGAGGCACACCCACAGAGGCCGAAACGTTGAGTGCGAGTTGGTTGATCGGAATCTCCAGGTTTTTGGTAGTACATGTCGCGTCATAAAGCCCGAAATGCTTCTCAATCTCCATGCCATTGTAGGATACGAGGGAATCGCTGAACATGAACCAGATCACGGTCTTGTCCGACGACCACAAGGAGACGTCGATCAAGTACTGCTGTGCAATTTCTACCGATGCAATGTTGCTGGTGGGGGTTCCACCAGCTGTAGGCCAACCGGTCTCAGTAACCATCCATGACTCCATACTCCCATACTTTGTCTCAATCTGTCCCCATTGTGCCTTGAGCATCTCGATAGGTGACAAAGTGCTCGAAGTAGCGAAGAAAGGGTGAATGTTCACGCCATTGACGGTACTCACTTTGACAATCTCTTCAGCTCCAGCAGCGCTGAGCCACTCGTTGACGCGCTGCACCGTACCAACGCGGACGTCGACACCCACACAAGCCTGGACCTGCTGGATGTATTTGATAAGCACTTCGGCACTATATGTGCCAAAGTCATTGTTTAACAAGTTCTCGTTACCGACCAAGACCGTCCTCATGGTCGTTGAGTACGACTTGTAAGCAGTGCAGACAGCTTCAATCTCAAGGTCAATTTTCGTCTCGTCAGTCATGTCAATGCCGACATCTATCTGTAGACCGACTTCTGCTGCAACCTCAATGATGTTGACACCGTTTACGAGCGTATGAAACGAACGGAAAACCGAAAAGTTGAGGGCAAGAAGTTGGAGTTCCGTCACAAGAACTTCCCTGGTCACCACTTTATCTTTGTTCCACGGCGAGTAAGCACAACCGAAATCAGCTTCGGTCGAGCTGAAGGTCATGGCGGCCAGCATGGCAAAGATGGTCTTGTAGATAACACGGACCATTTTGGCAAGTAGTAGAAGACGACGACGGAAGAAGGGGTCGAAGAAGAAAAGAGAAGAGAAGAGGGGGGGGGGGTAGTTCCTTGTGCTGGACGAGGAAAATTGAAGAATGAGGTAGTTTCGGAATAGGACCAGAGCTTTTGTGTCTTTCTCCTTCCGGAGGAACCGTTCGTCGTCACGTTGCCAGGCAGGATGAAATGACATGAAAGCACGACAGGCGCTTACGGTACATAATTCTGCAGTCGAAAGGCGCAAACCGAGTCCTCAGACAGCAAGACGATAGATAGCATGTGGTAGGGGAAGGACGCCACATGCGACCGAAAATTTTCGCGTGGCGATCTCACTGTAGCGTTGGATTTATTGTAGAAACGGCACACATAACCGCAAGCAATGATGAACTATCCATTGCTACCCTGGTTCTGGATAATGTAGAGGTAGTTAGTAGTAGGTCAGACAGACCGTTCCTGTCTCGTTTTCAAACTCATACTCTTCGAGCAGATGGTGCCTAACGACTTGACGTTTTCTTTGGCACGTATGTAGTACTGACGCGAGTATTCGGCTAGTTATTCACATAGTGTTGGAATATGAGAAAGCAGTAGCGTTTAGATCGATCGATGCAGGGGGAAGAGAGACTAGAGAGATCATTACAAGAGTCTTATATGGCTTAGGTATGACAGTGGCAAGTAACATGCATGGAAGTTCATTTCACGGTAGAGTCAAAGTGTTTGATGGTGAACAAGTCCTTGAAGCTCAACTTTAGCTTGAAGAACTTGCTATGTCTTGATGATGATGGTGATCGTCGTCGGTCCGTTTTTTCCAAGTAGCTGGCATCAAACCGACGTCAAAGTGGAGTCGGAAAGAATGCATCCAAGGCAGTAGTTCGACTGCAAGCATGACACAGTCGTCAGTACTGCTACATACCCATCGTATAATGACGACTTGCTATCGCAATCGTCGCTTTCGTACAGCCACTGAGTCGGCTACTAGTAGATTCATTGAGCTGTGAAATGTATCTGGCCAAGGTGTCATCAAGAGCCTCACGTCGTGCCGGTCATTCAGACCCCGTAGGGCCGTAGTCTTCATGTCGCTGTACGGGGCCTGGATGTTTTCAGCCTCTTGGCCAAATCGATGGCTAGACCGTCACTAATGATGGTGTCAGGGTCCGTAGTACACCTGAAACAACGTGGCGTTTGTGCTTCCAATGGCAAATGCCTCCGCAAAGTGACGAAAGTCATACAAGACGTGCAAGACCTTGTAGACGAGGATCGAAAAGTAGTGCGTTTCGTACGAAAGTAATAGAAGAGATAGCGTATGACTAGATACAGGTAGATCGCGCGTCCTGTAGATGACACGGATGAACGATGATGATGAGGTGACGCTTTGTGTCTAACGTCCTACAAGTCGCACACCATTGAGCCGTTTTCTACAATCCGGACGTTGCCGAGATCTGGTCTCGTGAATATGTGACCTTATGACAACCGACAGGCGAGAATTCTTGCAACAAACGTCGCACCATCGACTCAAAGCCACCAAGTGACGGTCCTGATATTGAATCAAGGACAACAAACAATCCATGACACTCAATGACGCTTACTGTGGCGTGAAATTTTCAACTGCCCCCTCTACCCCCTCACACGGTCAGGATGGTCAAGTTCCTTGGACAACTGCACAATCGAAATCTACTGTTCGGCATTTTGCGACAGCCAGCATGACATCGGCCGATTTGCATGCTCCAGAGATGGAAAATAGTGTTGAACAAGGGGAATGGATAGCCGATCCAAAGTGTAGCGTGGCGTTAGACAGGAATAAAAGTGAGTCAAACTGATGAGGAGGGACATCTTTGTGATGTACAACCAAGCTCAAGAAGCCCTCAGCCGCCGAAGTAAATGGGGTCATGTCTTGACCATGCATCTCACGTGGCCACCGGTCGTGTGGACAGCAGACCAAAAGGAAGATATTTTCTGCCTCGTGTCTCACGCGTCAATGCTTTGGCACGCACAAGTCAGCTCGAGCGGTCACAACGGGGGCTACACCCCACGACACGCGTGTCGCTTTGGCGACCGTAGACAAACGGGCCGTTTGAGCGGCCGAAGGACATAACCAACGACAACATGTCTCCTGCTATGCTGCATTAGCATAACCGGCTTATCCCGAGAGCGTCAGCACAAGTGACCAGCCTCGTACAACCACCGATTTCGATCGAGTACCGGCGTTGTAAACCAGGCTAAGGAACGACTACGGTCAACTAGACTCGTCTGCATCTCCTTCTCTCTCTCTCTTTGGGATTGAATACTTGTGCTCTATGCAGAGGAGTGTCACTGACTGCGTCTGGCTTTCTTCATGCCCATGCCAAATGGCCACTTGCTTGTCTCTATCGTGTCGTTGTACTCAACATCCTTTGATTGATGGGCTAAACTCTAGCACCGAGGTATCCTGTCGCACGTGGTACAACAGGCAGACATGGTTTGCTGCTGATTCTTGTCCGATGACTTGACGATCCTGAGGCAGAAGCAGACACAGCATTGCCTTCTATGAGAGAACGGTACGACCGTCATTATTTTTCGTATCAATGGATACTTTAGAGAAGCAGATCGTCTGGTAGATCCTTAGCCTAGTGTCGATGCTTCTTTCACTCCTTGGCAGCTATTGGAGCTTGCGGCAGTGCAGCAACAGTCTTTGGAGAGAAGCTCTACGTTACGCCGTCTAACTAATGTACAAACACGTCCATGTCTCTCTCGCCATGTGTGCGAATACAACTGACCATGCACCTGATACTTTAGGGCTCCATGGACGTGTAAATTGTATAACTTTCACTTCCACCTTGTGCTTCTTCTCGCTCAATTTGAACAATGGGTAGCAACGAATTGAATTTTTCAAATCGCATTGCCAGTGACTTTGGTACAACTTGAAAAACCTCCTGCGTCGTATTCAGACGAGGGATCGAATACTCAAACAAAGGGTCCATGACAAATTTGCTCGCCATTTGCGAAGAGTTTGCTACGAGTGCCTCGGCCACGCGCTTGGTAACTAAAATTTGGCCTCCAGCTCCTAAGTCTCCGATCGCGTTCGCAATGACTGCAGAAGCCCCCGTGTATGTTAATTTGCCTGTTATCGCGTGAACACCTTGGACAAGAGACCCTTCCGACTCGGAGGCGTCGTGGACACCCATGCGAACACGAAGTCCCCGAAAAATGGTTCTAGTTCCAACACGCTCTTTTCGTGTAGCGGGTACCAAGTCGTGCAGATCCTTGGGCCATTTTGCATTTAGTAAGTGCATTTGGGCATCCAAACAATACTCAACCGCTTCATGAATCGTGTGGAAAGCCAATTGAAAGGAGTCTCCCGCTGTAGCAATTTCGTAACCACGATACGCAGCCAACAAACTTCGTAAAATGTCATCATGAATTTGAGTTGCCTGCTGCATAACTCGACCATCGTCTACAGCCCAAAGGGCACTGGACGATTCAATATCGGTGATGACAAATACTGGGTTTTTGTTGGGCAGGTCCCAGCCCCCAGCCACAGTCACGCATTCTCGATGCTGGGTGTATTGTGCAATTGTTCCTTCGGAAACACAGCACCCCAAGCATCGTTCTACACATGGCAGACTGCAACCTCCTACGACGGAAAGTATGAAACCTCGCAGATAAAAAAGTGTAAAGCTTATTCCACCGTAGAGCGTCAATCCTTTTTCATCTATCGGTATCGCGTAAAGAATCACTGAAGAAAACTGGAATTGAAAGGCGAATAACGCAAATACGAGCCTTTCCAAGCAGAAACGAGAAGACACGCTTAGATAATGTCAAAGCTCAAAGATTTCAGATGAAGGAGAGCATACTCACATGATCCACTTGAGCCGTCGATAGAGAGGAGAAGCTACGAAATGCCCATGAACGCTTTCGTAGTTCCGACCTCTAAATTTCAGCATGATCACCACAATCACCATGTAGATGAGTACAACAATCTGTACAACGTAGGCAGCCAGCAACAGCGAGTAGGCATATGTGGAGTAGCCCGAGAAAGTAATAGCGAGCACGACTTGTACTACCAAAAACATTGCAATACTTGAGTGGCCGATCCACGAATACAGCCGAATTTTGGCTCGTTCGTGTTTCTCTCCACGGTCCATGGAAAGCGCCACCAACTTTGACAGCTCGTACACTAGAGCACCAATCCATATCGAGACACCGAAATGCGCCGTATCACCAATTAGGATCACAGTGGTGATCCAGCCATTCTGCTTTTGGATCAACTTCAACACTGCACTAGTACCCAACCGATAAAGCTCCGTCGTCATCACAAATTCATTACTCAGGTCGTTGTAGTCATCAAAGCGCTTCCTCTTACTTACTGCTTTCGTGAGCCATACGAAGTAAACCAATCTTGCTACCGAAGTGATGAACAGGTAGGCAAAAAAAGCGGTAAACAACCATCGCACACTTGAAGCCCGAACATTCCAGTTTTTGCAAAACTTAAAGACGATTAAACCAGTGCCCACTGTTGACAATGTCAACGCAGCAACGCAAAGTATGGCGGCCCAAATCATGCGAGTGGAGGAAGATCTTTTGTGGCGTCAAACGATCTGAAAAAACGTTAAAACCGACTGGGACGAGGCATGTGACTTCAAGGTGCTTTGTCCACCCCACAGCTTGCGTTGTCTTCTATAATTCGTTTTCCATTTGCTCATCCACGTATCGACGACTTCCTTGCTGACTAAAATACATCATGAATTGGTTTTCACTTTCCACTTCAATCGGGTAAAGAAGCAAAGGCTTTCCACTGACAGTCAGCAATGATGCAAATTTGGTTATCGACTGTACACGTCGCTTAACTGGCAATTTGTCATGCAGGTTTCTGATTTGGGCGACGAGGTCTGCAACTTTTTTTCTGTTTGTAGTGGCTTTGTTCGATCCTCTCCAGCGAATCGAAATGTACTTTCATATCACTTCAGTACCCGTACCAGAAAAGTACTGAAAAGTGTAAGCTTAGAGCTCACCATGTGACTCTTTTCCTTCTGGCTGGTGGTCATGACACGAACCAAACTGAAGTGTGGCTCTTCCCTTACAATTCATAATCATCCGACACACGAAATCCTCACACGTGTGCTTGGAAATTCATTTTTTCCGTCGAAGAGAAGATTAGATGCTATCGGCACACGGTCAAATATTGAGCCAGCTCTTTTTGCCTCAGGAATTCCGCTTTGTCCGAATTAGACTATTGCCTGCAACGCTGTCGAGTAACAACACATTGGGCTTACTGGTGTTCTGCTCGGTCGAGTTCATACCAACTTTGCCACATGCCGACGCTCTTCTTCCTCTTGGCAGTACGTGCCATTTTTTATATACATGTGTGCGGAGTAAGATGTCCTCTCAAGATGAATAACTCCATTTGACGTACTGGGCTAAAAAACGAGCGACATCCACCACTTTAGCGTGGATCACTACATCTGAACATGCTGAAGCTTGGTCTCGCACAAGTTCAACACGTTCAGGTGTAGCGATATCATCGAGGATGCCGAAACGATGACAGAAGGAGCCGAGACCGTAGCAGACATTTTGCACTTACCAAAGCTATAGCTTCCAGGAAGCGATGACTGCCATCGTGATCCTCGCTATTATAGACGATAAACGATCTCCACTTGTCTGGCGCCCTGCTTGCTTAGTGGTGCGCCCCCAAGGCGTAAAGAGCAAACACCATATACCTTTCCATCGCACGCAACCAACACAAGCACCTTCTCACCTCCTTTTGAATAGCACCCCACCATCGGCTGCATTAAGATTGGCAGCAGACGTTTATGTAATACCCAAGTGAATTTACTCGCGTTGAATCCGCGACGGTCATGCCCACGAGCTTCTCTTCCCGCTACAATGAAGAAAATTAGACCCAATGCACTACAGCTCAAAACTGAGTGAAGTAATCAAGTCGTGCAGCAAGAACCGATCATAGCTCCCCACAGTCTTCCACTCTTCTTGAGTTGTATCACCATCAACCAAGAATCAACTTCCTCAGTGATCTTTGATTTGATCGTCTACCTCATTCAGACCTAACACAAATGGTCTCGCAACTTCGTCTTCCACGGTCCAAGGAGATACGTTAAGGAAAGTGTCTTGGTCTCGTACCAAATTCACTGACTCCCAAGCGTCAGAAACGTTTTAATCACTAGAAGGTGATTCTCGTCCGATTCAATCACGAGTAACTTCACAGGTACTCTCACAAAGCTTCCGTTCGTCTATCTCTCGCTTCATACCACTATCTTGAGAATGTTTTCTGGCCCACACATAGGTAAGCTCGTATTGTATTGTCAATCTTGTGTGTCTGGGAACAGACCTTTGTCTGGTTCATATCTCTCACATGAAAACATGTTTTCTGTAGATTCTGGTAGCATGACCCCTTTATAATAATGTATCAGCCTCGTTATGAGATTAATCAACACCATCCATTCAGATCAGCGACTATTGTAGCATACGTTCCTTCTTCCTCTGAATCAAGTTCACCGGGAGCAGCAACGTCTGCTTCAATATGAGCTAGAGACAACGAAATCGAGCCGTCCAAACATCACGTATAGCAAAAGTCCAATCGTGTGTAAAGCAGAGTATTGTTTCGTATCACGTGGACAGAACGATCTTCGTCCTGCGCCAGTTTATTGGTCTGGTAATGAATACCTGTTCGGGTAGCAAAGACTTTTGGCCATCGACGACGATACTTCGTCAATTAGCCATCTTTGGTGGTGGTCTCATGAGAAGCTGAGCAATAAGTTGCTTCCCAATGGCAGTTCGAATCACCCACATCTCGCTTATCTTTGTAACACTTGCGGTCGTGCAGCAACCACAGCTAGGCGAAGTCGCCTCAAAAATGTAGCTGGTAAATCGATCAGCTGATCTGATGGTATTGCGTCGAACCAGCGAATAACGGCACACAACACTTGTCGTTGACATTTGAGCCCGGCAATTGTTGAGTACTCCAAAATCAACTCGACACATATTGTCGAACACCCGAACGTCAGTCTGAAACGATCCTCTGGTGAAGATTTTTCGTCAGATGACAGAATTTGGCACATCCAGTCAGTGACGCTCTCGATGTACTCCCCGCTTCTAGTCCTTGAGTCATGCATGTCACTCTTTTTCGAAGCAATACCCATCGCAATATGCCCGACGAGATGCATGATGCCGATTTTGCCCTCGATGTTTGCTTTGCTGTAAAGTTCTTGGCACCGGTCAATATTGAAGATTTTCACGACGAGGTCGATACCGTACACTGCCGAGCATATCTCCATACTCTTGGCGAGCACAAAGTAATCAGCTGATACAGGACTTCGGCCTTCATCTTCTTCTTGTTCAGATTTCGACGATTGGCAAAGAACAACAAGTTCGCTGAAAATTTTCTCCACACATGCGCATTGGTAGCTAGATTCGCTACCATCAAAATCCTCTAGCTCAGGCATCTGAAGTGCATTAGCAATGGTATGAAGCATCGCGATACTTGGCTGGAGCAATAGGAGCTCTTGTTTTGCGGCAGATACGCCCGAGATGACTACCAAAGCTTGCTGCAACGTCTCTTTTAGAACCATTTGTCGCTCGATGCAGTGTTGGTCGAACTCACGCTCCAGTATGGCTGGATAGATCTTTAACATTACCATTGCGAAGTACAGCCCTCTGATGTTTGGGTTATCTCGCACTAAATCAAAGAGTAGCACGCGCGAACGAACAAGTTGTCCAGTAAAGCGGCAAAGGTGCGTGTGGAGGGCACAGACGTGGGCCAAAAACACTTTGTCGTGGCTGATGTTGATCTGACGCGTTGTAACTTGCACATGCACCCTGGTCTGGGACAAAAACTCCCCAATATTTGTCCGCTCCTCGACCAACAAACCTCGAAGATGTAACAAGCACTCGTCAACCGTCGACAAACAGAAAGACTTCGAAGCAACACATCCGTCTTGCTCCAGCTCTTCATTGCCACTGCACAATACTCGTGTCAGCACTTGATTACAAAGCCAACTCAAACTTTTTCTTTCCGGCATCAAACGACGAGACCGTGGAGTTCGAAAAAGACTGAGTGATCCACGCACCACTAGCATCGGAGAGATCCCTTGCTCACGATACGCATCAGCCAGAGCTCTACACAAGGTTATCTGCACAGAGCAATGACATTCAACCGATTAGATAAATGGGACCAGTCAGAATACACACTATGTCTCGCACTTACCACGTGATCAAGATACGTATCAACGAAGTTACTGCACTGGGTCACAAGTACACTAATCGTTCGGCGAGTATACTCCTTGTCCGGCTCTTCGCCCTTGCCCAGTACAAGGGCTTGCTTGAATGTTGACAAAGACTTTTTCAATCGCAGCTGTTCCTTGGCCTCAGCTGCACTTTTCTTCTTCCTGGCGGACGTAGATGACTTAGTCTGTGGTATTGCCACTCTCGTCCCGTCTTCAGCTTTTCTACACACATCGTTCAGTTTGATTTTCTTGTGTAACGTGGCCTGAGAGTCCTCCAGGTTTGCTTTATCTGCTTTCCGAACGTTTCCAATAGTACTAACTTCAGTCGCAGGGATGATGCTGGAAGCGTGTTTATCCGCACGATTAGCTTTAGCGTTCTGCTTACCAGATTCTGTCGGCGTACCCGGAAATTCATGCGAGGTGTGATCGGAAGGCTGTTTCAATCTTTTAGCGGGATATAGCTCCAATTCAGAAGGTTTATTCGTGCTGCTGGAGGATGTCACGGAGGCTGATTGCTTCCGTACTGGTACCTTTGCTAATTTTGTATTGTCCGATGAGGTTTGAGTGTCAGGGGTCGCAGTGGCACCTGCATCAGCGATGAAATCACCACTCGGCTGAATGCAGCTTAAAGCATTTTTCTGGAACAGAGTTGGCTGAGAATTCACAGCAACGGTAGACGGCTTCTTCTCCTCTGTAGAAATCATTACTTCCGCAGGAGTGTCTAACTGCATACGCTCGCTTTGTATCGTCAATTTCGCATCAACCATCGGAGAGTACACGTCTGTCGATGCACCGACGAATTTCTTTTCGACTGGTGTTGTTACAACAACTGCATCTTTATCAAGAGGCGAAAGAGACGATACTCCTACCTCGCTGTTTGTTTTGGCTTGCAGTGTTGTTGTTTCCGCTTCGTTCTTTTGCTTAACTGGTCCAAGAGATTCGTTCTCAGCAACGCTATCCACTTTACCAGTCATAGGATCATCTCCGTCGTCATCAGACTCGCTGTCACTGCTGTCGCTCAAGTCATGTTCACTGCTCAACCCACTCTTGCTAGAGCCTTCAGCCTTTCCGTGGTTCTCTGCGTCTGAGTCTGCCTCCAGTGCTGCAAACTCATCATCTAGTTCGTCGTCAATAGACATCAGAGTCCATTTGCTCTGGCAAACATCAACTCTCGCCGCAACTGTTTGCTCGGACTTTTTCGTATTGATAACATCTCCTACATTGACGACGCCATCTTCTTCGCCACTGCTTGATTCCAAGTCCTTGTCAATAGCGTTCGAGATTGCAAAATCAAACCCCGCCGACACAGCATTTTTTTCTCCAGCAGCAAATTCATTTCTTCCACCTATCCGCCCACTATCAGTATCATCCGTTCCCTGAGCATCACTTGTTTTATTTCGACCTTCATTCTTCTCGCTCCTAGTGCCCAGCTTTTGTTGAACGTTATTTAGCACTACTTGATCACTGCCGTTTAACATCAAGTATCCATTTTTGGTCACCAAAGCCACTCCGTTGTCCTGTTCTTCTTCATTGCTGCTCATTTCCAGCTCCTTGTCAATTTCATCCAATACTGTCAGATTCAACCCAGCGTCCTTCAGTCCACTATTGACGATTACAGTATTGTCTCTTGTCTCGTGACTTTCATCTTCCGAGTCACTAAATGCCAATTCGGCATCCAATGCTGCACTTGTTTCCTGTAAGAATGTCGTTTGTTCGACTGACCCCAGCACTTGCAGTGGTTCAGGAGTAAAAGTGTCCTCAATAGGGTCTTTTTGTGGACGTCTTGAGCATTTCGGTACACATTGGTCCATTTGATGATAGAAAAGGGACATGTTTTGTTCCCTTCCACTTTTTCTGCATGTTAAAATGTCCATTGTCTGCACTCCATGGTCCCTCATTGTCCTCTTGTTAACTTGTTCTACTTGTCCACTTAACAATGTCTGACACGTGCGCGTCACTTTATTTGACTCTTGTGTCTGCGTCGAGGCATTGACTTTTTGTTTTAACGTTTTAACATCCTGATTCAACCCGTTTTTATACCGTTTTTTGGTTTTTTCATGACGACATTTTTCGACTTTCAGCTGTTTTTGCAGCGTTTCAACATCCTCAAACAGCGTTTCAACACGCACGCGATATTCTTTCAATCGGGCCGCCGCCTCCTTGAGCTTCGACTTGGTCAGCTGTTTGTACTCGACACCTTTCTGTACCTGTCGTTTAAGCCGTGCAATGGACTCGGCCTGACGCTCAATGATGTCCGCCTGCGAAATCTGTGCTGCTGCAGGGGCATCTGCATCCATTTCGACAAATTGTCGTTTAATTGCTTTTATTTATTTTATCTAGTAACAACAATTGCGTTTTTACGTATAATAATATCAGCAAAAGTAAAAAAAAAACGTTGGGTCATTCAGTGTTCATTCTTAACCAGCCCCCAGGCTCCTCGTACAGCCAGGTGATATCCACATGTCACTTGTCAACTTGTTCATCAATTACTCCTCAAGATCAATACGATTTGCCACATATAGAGCCTGTAAAACCTCCAGATCAAAGGCTTGACTTGTCCAACAGCATTCTCCGAAAGTCCTCATTACTCTTGGGTGTCACAGTTCCGGCATCCGCTTTCGTCTCGATTCTCGAAATTTTCTTTTCTTGGGCAGCTACTTTTCGGCGAAGAGCGCGTGGCATTAAACTTGTGACAGACCCACGTGATACAAGAGCAAGGCGCGTAGACGGTCGTGCATGCACTTCATGAACTCCTTTGCTAGTTGCTCCACCTTGCTTGCGTAGAGAAATGAGGCTTGAATTCCGCTGCGGCTTTTGCTTTTGCTGTTGCTGCTTCTTCTGCTGTTCGAGGACATGGGCGATGGAAAAGCGAGAAGCCTTTAGCGTCACTTGATCGCCTAGTTTCGCTTTCAAAGCAGCGACGTTGTCCAGGCAAAACGCAACTTGTGAAGGCTCGGCTACTTCCACGAGCCCATAATTCTTCAACTTGCCATGACGATCCTTCAAGATGCATACGCGATTAACAACCACAAGTTTACCTGTCGATTGCATTACCTGCTGAAGCGAAGCCTGCAGCTGTTCTTCACTTACTTGCTCCTTAGACCCCTTGCGGTTCAGGTCGCCAACATATATCGTCAATGGATCAGTTTTCCAGAACCCGTCACCTCCTTGTCCAGATTTTCCTGCACCCGTAGAGGCCGAAATTGCTGGTGGCTTCGAGCGCTCGACACGCAATGGGTGCCCATGAAGCAAGCACCCATCTTTCTTGAGTCCAATTTCAACGCCATTGTCGTCCGTAAATTGGACGTATGCCATCCCGCGCGATATCGTTCGGTCGCCGCGCGTCTTCAAAACAAGCCGAACATCTTTCAGAGAAGAGATATCCTTGAATATCTCCTCGATATCCTCCTTACTGGCCTCCTTCGACACGTTGCACAAAAAGAGCGTGTGTTCATTTGTCAAAGTCTCATGCGCCTGCTTCTTCTCTGCTTTTTTCATCATCTTTTTTTCGCCAACGACCTTGCTACTAGCATCGTCTCTTCCGGCGTTGTACGCATTGAGCTTAGCACGCTTTGCGGAAGATTGCATCTGTGAACCCTTACTCTGCTTGGCTCCAGTAGTTGCCTTACGCTTCTTGGCACGTATCGTCGTTTTGTCTCCTTCATCGTGCGTAAAACTTGAAACGGGGGTGGCAACTTGAGCCGGAACTGCTCGCACGACTGCATGGTGCTTCGCGTAATATTGGCGTGCACGAAGATAACTTGACAAATCACCATTTTCGCGCTCAAAGACAAGCCATGACTCAGCCAGGACGGTTGGGAAATCCGTAACGCGTTGCACAGCCTTGTCAAAGACCATCGTGCGTATGATGTCAGTGGAGTATACATTCATGCGTCGAATTGACTTGAAGTAGGCAATCCAAGTAGCAGCCTGATTTCCAAGAGGTGTGTCAAGCGTCTTTTTCCACAATTCATTCAGTTTGGAAACTTTTAACGCAATTGCAGAAGCACGCGTTGGGGATTCAGCGGATGGCATCAGTGCCCAGTAACATTTTGCTTGGTATTCTACCAACCGAAGCTTACCCTCTAGAAAGTCCGGAAAAGCTTTACTCATAAATTGCTCACATTCTGAGAAAACCCCACTAACCAGTGACTCCACCTGCTGTGACGTGTCTTCAAGAGATTTCCCGCCAATACTGGTAGAGGCATGACGGCGTATCGAGTCGCACCATGCAATCAGAACACTGAACAAATGGAACTGATTCATAGGTGAATTCGAGCGTGCTAGTAAATTTGTTCGCACAAATTGTGAGATTTTCTCGGCAGGTTTGTCCTCCTTTCGCTCCATCTCGACCAGCAACTCTGTCCACGCAAAGGAGTCGAATGGCACATTTCGTACAGCTCTTTGCGCGACTACCAACTTTTTCCACTCTACCTTTTCGGATTTATCAGCATTCATCTGGTCAACCTCCACGTATTCAAGATAATTTTTCCAAAGCGTGGGGCTCAGACATAAAGTCGATACCGCACGCTCGTACAAGCACGTGACAATTTGTCTCCCTTTTTCTAAATCTGTCGTATCACTCGCCATTAACGGCACAACACGGTGTTTCACAAAATTCAAATACTGCTGCCAATGTTCTTCCAATGCTGCAACATTTTCCATTCCAGATATTGCACAAATTCTCGCCTCAAATCCACGAAACTTTTTCATCAAAGGTGCAAACAATTTGTTCTGTCGCTTTAAAGCCGTTTCAAAAGCTGATCCTGAAGCTTGCGTATCCAGTTTATTGTACGCGTCCCAAGCTCGAAATTCCGACAGGACTAAATCATTCTGATCCAATGGCAGCTCCATTTGTTTACAAAAGAGATTTCGAATCGTTTTTTCTTTTTGCACTTGTGTTTCCATTGAATCATCCATTTCTTGGTATTTTTCAATTGTTAATTCCCGACAGAGTGCCCAAATTTCATGTCCACGTGCAAAATGGGTCCCTAAAGTTTTTTGTTCCTTTTTCATTGCCATTTCTAATTCTTGTGCACTGCCATTTTCCTTGAGAAAATTTAAATATTGTTTAGATATTAAAATGGACCAATAATCCTTTTGTGATACTTCAAAAAGTGTCTTGAGATGTCGTGGCGAATTTTTAATAACACTTAAATCATTTATCCATTGTATGTACATATTTTCCGTTAGTGGAAAAGCTTGTTGAAATTTTTCATACAATTTCGTACGAAGGAAATGATACGAATCCAGTTTTGTGTCAACATTTCGAACACTGTTCGATAAGTTTGTCACATGGTTTGTCACATGGTCAATTCCAGCCACATATTGTTCGTACTGGATGTTTAAAGGTACAGATGGTTGTAGAATGGAATTTGCTACTTCTTGACAACAGGGTAAAACGTCACAAGAGACTGTAGTGTTTTCTACAGACTTTGATTGCAAAAAGGAATCGGAGTTTTGATCAATTTCGTTTATGACTTGTACGTGGACATTGGGAGTAGAAAAAGAGACAGCGTGAGGAAGAGTCGATATGTCTACAAGATCATTGTCACTGGAAAATCCTGAAGATGAATTGCTGTCAGATGGAGAAGCTGCATTACGAGACATCTCTCGATATAAATGAATGGTAGGGAGGGGATTACGACTTATTAGAGGTTTATTCTTATTGTCGGGTCGGAAATCGGGTCGAAAAAAATGAATTTTATAGGCGCACACAAAAAGAGGGTACAAAAAGAGGGTACAGTTGGACAATTGGTCTTTGTTTGACTTTTACACAAAATCCGGTAGCAAAAAGGGTGGACTAAATTTATACTTAACGTGACGTGAGCCAATAAAACGCTCGAAATGATCGTCAGGGCACTTCGACAGTGTACAGCTGGAGGGAGACATGCCTAACCGCCGGTAGTTTTTACACGCGTTTGTTCTGATGACACACATTCTGTATGTTTTCTTGAAATACGTCAGTTGGACCATAAAACGTGTGGCGTTTTTTGTTTTTATCGACTAGAAGACGGTTAGATAATGACAGTTTTATGGCAAAGTGCCGATTTTTTACAGTAGTACGTACATAAAGCCCAAATCGTTAATCAACCCGTTTTGCATCGTTCACAAATGCACTTGATTTCACTATATCGACGACGTGAATAAATAATCCTTTTTTGATCGTCAAATGTGTGGGTACAAAAGTCAGTCGAGACATATCGTCAAAACGTTCGAAAAAAAGCGCCTGTCGGACATTTTCACTTTGGCTCTTGTAACCGAACGTACCTCTTCGATTCTTTTCGTTCCATCCGTACAGTTTTTGAATCGTAAAATTGCAACGGTTCATCAGTCGAGTCTTTCATTGCAAGTTTTGTCATATTGAAATCTTGAGTGTTTTAAACAAAAGAAAAAAAGTCTCTAAACACAGAGGTATGCAATGTCTTTTTATAATGGCAGCAATTTGGTTTGTACCCATAGTGGCAGTATATACAACACAAGAGAATAATAACCAGTTGAATGGCTACATGGGACAAGAACAAGAGCAACAAATATCGACGATAATTCCAGTCTCAGATCCAGTGATGACGAATCAGAAAATTCCAGGGACTGGAAATGGTGGTGATGCAATGAAGATGAACGAGGTGGAGATATCGACTGTAGAATCGACACTGGACAAAACTATGCAGACAAAAGACTCGACGGTGAAGAATGTGGCTTTGACTTTGAACGATGACAAGGGGATGGGAAGATCTACTACACTGGACGATGAAGTTCCGTGTGATGATGTCACTCAGAAGATGAAGTCAAAGGGAAATTTGCCAGGCAGCAGTGCGACCGTCGCTCCCGATATTACAGACTCGACGATTCAGACGGTGACTCACAACATGTCGAACGTAGCGGAGACAGTGACTCCTGTTGGGAAGGAGGTTGCCTATGCTGCTGACCATACAACGGACACGCTGACTAACAACTTGGCGAACGTAGCGGAGACGGTGACTCCTGTCGGGGAGAAAGCTGCCTATACTGCTGATTCTACCGTGAACACGGCGACCAACAACATGTCGAACGTAGCGGAGACAGTGTCTCCTGTTGGGGAGAAAGCTGCCTATACTGCTGACCATACAACGGAAACGCTGACTAGCAACCTGTCGAAAGCAGCGGAGACGGTGACTCCTGCTGTGAAGGAGGTTGGTTATACTGCTGACCCTACCGTGAACACGGCGACCAACAACATGCCACATGTAGCGGAGACAGTGACTTCTGTTGGGAAAGCTGCCTATGCTGCTGACCATACAACGGACACGCTGACCAACATAACGTCGAATGCAGTGATGACAGTGACTCCTGCGGTGGAGATGGTTGCAGAAACTTCTATGGAGACGGTGGTCAACACTACGCCTTACGTTACTAAGACAGTGGCGCCTGTTGCGAAGACGGCGACCGATACAGTTGCATACACCGCTACTTCTCCTACAGCTACTACTCCGATCCCGGCTTCAATTCCTACTCCTCTCGCCACGACAATACCTGCCTCATCATATGACATAGTTGGACAAATTGTAGACAAAACTACAGGCGTGGAAGCTCCATCCACGATGCCACCTGCTACGACTGCGCCAACAACGACCGGTGTCGCCACGACCGAGCAAAGCTTACACCGAGATGAGGAAGAGGAGACAGAGTCGTCTTTATTGATCTCGCAGACCAGCGCCGACGAGACGGATTTGGACTCCGACCAATCTATCCCCACAAGCAAGGAGATTACATCCGTCGATGATAATGCTGACAATGAAGATTCCGATAGTGAAGATTCCGACAGTGAGGATTCCGATAGTGAAGATTCCGACAGTGAGGATTCCGACAGTGAAGATTCTGACAGTAAAGATCGTGAAACTGGCGGCAATTCAGTGCCTGCTCGCAAGTCGTCTCTGTCGTCAGGTAACGTTGCCAAAAAGCCTTTGACCACGACGTCTCCAGCAACGAAGACTATGAAGAGTGATGATTCTGCTTCTTTTGCCCCCGATGCTGTTGACCGCAACTCTGGACTTCACTCGGAAAAGTCCGGATTTACTTTTGCCTCTCCTCCACCTGCAGACTCGGCATTCAAGCCCGCAGCGATGAAAGGTTCTAGCGTGAGTGACATTTCGAAGCCTGAGCCTAAGAAGACGACTTTGCGTCCCGAACATTCCGCACCTACAGAGGTGCCAGCCCAACCATTTTCGCAGGTGCCGGTTGAAACAGCTCCGAAGGTGCCGGTTGAGACAGCTCCGCAGGTGGCGGTTGAGACAGCTCCGCAGGTGCCGGTTGAGACAGCTCCGCAGGTGCCGGTCCAGACAGCTCCGCAGGTGCCGATTGAGACAGCTCCGCAGGTACCGGTAGAGACAGCTCCGCAGGTGCCGGCCCAGATAGCTCCGCAGGCGCCAGCACCGACAGTTCCGCAGGCGCCAGCACCGACAGTTCCGCAAGTGCCGGGTTCGCCGGTCCAGGCAGAGGCTGCGACCGCTTCGCCTCTGTCGATTACGTCTGACAGCGGTCTAGAAAGTGTTGAGGCACAGGCCCAACGTGCTGCAGCGGTGTCGGGTGACAAAAAGGACGTGTCATCACTTTTGCTTGTAGGAGTTGCTGGCTTTGGGTGCGTGGCCATTATCGCCATCGTTGCGTTCATGAAAAAGCCAAACCACGTGACCGATGAAACAATAGGTCCTGACGGTGAGCGTATTTCGACGACTGCGGCGATGGAAGCTTGCAACTTTGAAGGCAGCATATCGAACGATCCGTTAGGAACGCGTTATTCCAGTATTGTCATGATCACACCTAATGGTGATGGTATGTGCATTTTGTAGAGAGATTGATATGGTGACGTATGACGCACCATTAGAGACTTTTTGACGACTTATTGTAAAGCTCACCTCGAGACATTTTAGACCATAGTCTCTGCTATTTTTTTTGCTTAAACGTTTTACATAATATATAACTACGTTAAAACGTTAAAACGGTCAATTTCGGCAGGAATACCGGTATCATTACGAGGTATTGTACAGAATGACGGCAGACAATAATGACGGATGGGATGAGTGGGAAGACGACACTTCTCCATCGCCACCATTGTCTTTAACCGGATCTGACCACTTTGATTGTATAGAGAAGACGCAGACGTATCCAGCCGTGTCAAATTTATCTTCAGATGACGATAGAAAGTGGGGTTTTGATCTCTCTGAACTTGAGCATGAGATGATGAATCTACCTCCAATAACGCCACATTTTAGCGATCCTGATGCTGCTCAGAGCAATGAAGAAAAGCTTTTATTTCTCTATGACGACGTGCCTAAAGCTCTGCAAATTGGTAGAGAACGAATGCAAGTATTGCAGGCGCTAGCGCTTGTTACACGAGTGCATGTCCTGGCAGTACGTGGGAGCTGTACCGAGCTAGTAAACCATGTTGAAACCCCTTTAAAACCATTAAAACTTATTATTAAAGAGTTAAAACAATTGGCTGGAGAATGGGGGGATGAAAATCAATTGGAAACGACGTTAAAACCGTCCGAACGACATCAATTAGAGAAAATGACCGAGGTATTGTATGCTTCTTTAAGTGAAGAGAACGAGAGTTTGATGCAATTCCAAGAGGTATTCGAGCACCTTTTTGAGACTTTACCAGATCAGAAGCTAGTGATGTCTACAAATTGGTTAAATGCTGCAGAAATGGAAGAGACGAAGACAGAAAAGATGAGTTATGTGCAGCAAATTCTAGCTGTTTCCAGTAATGAAGTTGGTACCAAGAGTCATATACCGACATTGTCCGATGCTGAAATTCTGCAGGATGCAAAGGATATTGGACGTGATGAATTGTTGATTAATGGGATACGAGTGGGAGGGGCAAAAGGATACGATGCAGTAGTGGATGCATTGCAACGGGAACTAGAACTTGTGCTTGCACGTCAAGTTGGAATGACACCTGAGCAGACACCTATGACTGTAAGCAATGCTTTGCAGTCTGTCGCTATGGCTGTGGTGCATGCAAGCAATCGTACCGAGTCGGGTGGATGCTCTTACGAACTGCTAAGCAAGTTTCTAAGCAATCATAAGATGAATCGAGTACTGCTCCGTCCGGATTCGGCTCGAGCAGCTCCGTTAGAAGTTTACTTGGATTTGGGTCCGTATTTAGAAACCATTCCTGGATCGAACGAATCCATTTGGGCATTTGGACTGCGTGTGAAGCTTGTTGCTGTGACGTGGTACCTCCTATGCGACGCCGAGGACCCGACGACGGAATTGTACGAGATTGAAACGACATTTTGCAATCGTCTCGCCTTCTCAGTTGGACTCACACCGTTTCATCCACTTGACACGATGCGTAAAGATTGCGGTAATGTTATCGTCCGATTCGTGCGTGCATGTAAGTAAAGGAGCGGATGGACTTACGTGGTAGTGTCGCTATATATTATAAAATCAATCGCGGAGACCCTACTCTTGTTTTTATTCGTTTCGTCATGTAAAAACGATTTTATTTTTGTCCAAACCGAATTTTCGTCTCAGTTAATGGAGCTCCTCACTCGTAATTCACGTCTTGGCTCTTTCTCCTTCGTTGGACGTCATGTGCCATGGGTTTTTCACAATTGTCGAACCCTTCGTAACTTTCCAATTAAAATCTTGTGTCGCAATCAAAAATTTATTCGCAAAGCGGCAGGAAATTATTTCGAAGTTGAACGAGAATGGAATGTCGGAATCGTGCTTAAACCGTCCGAAGTCAAGTCACTTCGAGATCAAAATGCCGATGTATCAACTGCTTTTGGAGCTTTTTACAAACAGGAATTATTCCTACACGATATGAACATTCCAGGTTGATTTTATCTATTTGTTCGTTGAAAAGATGCAAAGAAGACATGGAATTGTGCTAAGTGAGACTTTCATGATATGCAGTTTGGCGTGAGGGATTAATTGGACGTCCGGAACCTACACGAGTGCGTAAATTACTAGCACATCGAGCAGAGTTGAAGAAAATGGAAGAGTTTAGTACTCGTCCTAATGCTCAATTGGTACGTACGTAAGTAAGTGGTAAAAGAAAAAGAAGAATACGCACTCTCTTCCTGCTAAGTGTGTGCTTTTGCTGCTTATGGTAGATTCCAGTACGGATCGAAGTTGGCAACACTGGATGGATCAAGGTAATTATGGCAGCGTGTTTCAAACGTGGCCAAATTGACAATCGCCGACGTGATGACCAAAGAGAAATCAAACGTCAGCTACGTGAATGGTAAAATGCATTGCAATGCATTAGACATCTTGAACATCCGTGCAAAATCAAAAAAACAATCAACTTTCTCTTCCTGTGAGATTAATTGAGCCAGTACGTCACTCAACTCGTGTGAACCTCCTCCTCATGTCATTAGTAGATACGTCTGACTTTCCTGTCCATCTCCTTTCACTTCCACTTAACAGCAACTTCCAGCTTTCTTCTTGCCACCTCCATACGGGTCCACAATCTCTGGCAGTGCATTGCTCTCAGCAGAAGCAATTGGCAATGCTTGACTGATCTGGATGAACAAATCCGACACGTTCGTGTCTTCTTTTGCACTTGTCTCAATAAACAGCGCACCAATCTCCTCAGCGTACGCTCGAGCTTGAGACGCTGGAACCTCCCGTTTGTCTTCCAAATCACTCTTGTTACCAGCAATAGCAATGACAATATTATCCGGACCCAATTGTTTCAGTTCCTTGACCCAATTCTTAAGAGTCGTCAATGATTGCTACACTCCAAAAATACATTATTAATTTCAACTCAATATTAATTATTACACATAAAATCTTATTGATAAATAAAATTGTACCTTTCGAGTGATATCGTACACGACAATAGCAGCAGCAGCTCCTCGATAATACATGGGTGCCAAACTGTGGTACTGTAACAAGAATTTCCGTATACAAAGAACAATAATTGTCATAATAAAGATAAAATACACATTCAGTGAAGTAAACCTTAAGTAACCTCGTATATAATATATACCTTTTCTTGACCGGCAGTGTCCCAAATTTGATACTTAATCGGTGTGTCATTAACCACAATCATCTTGGACATAAACGAAGCACCAATCGTCGACTCCGAGTACGGACGAAAGTTGTTGGTTACAAAACGCAACACCAACGACGATTTCCCCACGCCCGTATCACCTAAAAGCACCACTTTCACTTCTCTCGCTTTGCTATTCCCTGACTCGGCCATTCTTTCTGGTGTGTTTTTTTTATTTTGTCCGACTGGTTTATTCTTTTCTCTATACTTGTTGTTCTTCTCTTGCGTATAGTTTTAACCAATTATAAGGCGGTATCGAGAAAGTCGATTGATGAGTGGATGGTACAATATAGCAACATACATTACCTAATTAACAGCTGACCATATCGGATTGCTGATATTTTGGTTGGTTGTTTTAACCTGTGATTGCTTTTTTGTTACTTTTTATACGTTATTTTGCAGTATATAGCGTTAAAAAAAGGTTTATTTAGTTAATACAGATTTAATTCACACTCTTGACCATAAAGTAAAAACGGCTTTTCAATCACCTCATGTGAATTTGGTGTGTTTGTACCGTTTCGAGACAACTACGTTACATTTAAAACTGTTTAAACAATCGACGAGCGACAAAAATACGACAACAAACTTCTTTGTTGTTGCAATGTTGCAATAGGGACTGGTCCATTTCAAACATGAATTGACAAAAGTTGATGTAAAAAGATGTTGTAATTACACTATTTACGAAACAAAACGACTGGCTGGTAGAATATAGAGAGACTGATTCATTCTGTTCATCAGTTGCTGATTGTCCCCTTCGTGTATATTTTCCACTATATAGTCAGACTGTGCTTGTGACCAATGCATTATTATTATGGTCTTTTTCTTCTTGTCCCGATGATTGTAATAACTCTAGAATTACACTGATCCAAGTGATGATACTTATCCAAAATGAGGGATATACATTGATGCCAAACTACTAGGCTAAAGAAGTTTTAAGTATGTGAGAATGATGAAAGTCGAGCTTTTTTCTTAGGAAGTGCCGTCTGATTATGTTGAACATTATGACGACAAAAAGCTGTTGAGCTCTTCTTTGAAGGGCTTCTGAGACTCCATACGAAACTTATATTTTCTAGATTGATATTAATGTTAAAGTAGATTGTCCATGATGTCATTACATTCACCAGAACCACAAATAGCTGTTCCTTCGAAGGGTATCGGCTGGTAAAGATAGAGTTGATAAACTTAATGACATCTCACAAAAGTGCTGCTCGTTAATGAGCCAAGATTAGTTGCAAACGTCGTCTCAAAGTCTGGACTTTGGGGCGACATTGGCTACAAACGTCTGTCCTGGAACGCGCCGTGCCTGCCAACATTCATACAGAATGTACTCTTAACATGCTTGTCGATGATGCTGAAGTGATGCTTAAATGTCACTGATAAACGCAATACTATTGTTTAGTACTGTTTGCATGGAAAGCAGTGCAAGGGCAGAGATATCGCCAGAGACGAGAATCTACTTAACATTCAGATGCCCAAGCGGCCTTGTATGGATAGACACTCGTACGATAATCATCAATGACTGGTACAACTAGTGCCGAGAATCAGTACAACCATAAAGATAATAAGGGACCTAGCTCATACTCTACAACTTTTTAAAGGTCGAATGCTCTCCATGCATTCATAAAAAGCAAGAACTTTCATTTCTCGCTGGTTCTGCCATATTTTCTGGCCGAAAAGAGCTTTTCTCATCTTGATTGTGTCTACTCAACTCCAATGCTTTATGATAAGAGAAAGCGCCGTCGTCGTCATATTCGGCTGATACGTCTTCAGGGACTATTCATGGTGCTCTTACTTCTTATCTGCATTCCTAGCGACTTCTTTCTCTTCCAGCGGTACGTCTTCTTTCTCTTTTTTCTTCAAAAAAAGCATCTTTGATTACTTTCTTCAAAAAAAATCACCATTTTTGCTACTTTGCAGTGTGTACTTGCCAGATTACAAGCTCCTTCGTCATTTCGTGGACTCAGCAGCTCATGGCAATGTGGCGTTCTGCTGTTGGGCTATTTTTCTGCTTCAGGCTGAAAAAAATGCTAAAGCAAGGGACACCTCTTTCTCGGTCCTTGAAATGCTTAAAAAGTGCTTTTTTAATGGCATCACCGCGTCGGTACTCGACGCTGACCATTTTATTGCTGCCGGAACTTTGAATCTTACTGGAGCAACCCATTTAACTCATCGTCCATTTGGTCACGCAGTCACTTTCATTATTGTAGTGGCATTTCTGGTCAGTTGGTGCTCAAAGAAATGCCCAACGAAAACGAGAAGCTACCGAGTCTGTTTTATTGTCGTCGCATGGTTCAGTCACCAGCTTCGAGATGGTATGCGACGTGGGCTGTGGTTCTGGCCAATTGGATCCACCCCGCCGATTACATACTTTTTGTACTTGTTGATGGAGGAAGGATTGCCATTTGTAATGGAGAAATGGTGGAGGCAGGTACCAGCACGGACGAAAATGGAGAAATTGGAGCTTGCTTTAGACAAAGAGGCTAATGAAAAGATGATTTATGAAAGTAACGAAGAAGAGGAATTGAGGTTGATCGTATAAGGAGGTGGTAGACGTGAAGGAACAACAGTCGTCGCCAGCCAAGGCATCGAGAAACACAGTGACTAATTTGTTCAAGAGAGACGGTAAGACGAGAACTGCATCAAGATGTCGAGAAATTCGAGACCAAGCAGGTAAAAGAATGAGTGATCTTTACGATTAATGTTTGTACTTAATAGATCGCAGTCTTTTGGCAAAAACATTTGACCACAATTCACTTAGAAATGAAGGATAATTTTTTCCAGTAGCGTATGTACACGGTTGTCAAATTCACGAATACCAGCAAGGTAATATTGACGGACAAATGCAGTTTTACGTATGTTAGCTCAAAATTTTGCTTTTGTCAATGTTGCTTATTGTATTTTTGACGTCAAAAAAAGTAAGTAAAAACATTCACAAAAGAATTGTTTCTTCTACATTTCTACAATAGCAAATAAAAATAGAAACGTGCATCAAATTCACAAGGTTTCTATTCAAAACGACTCTTTTCGCTAACGAATCATGGCTCCTACTGGTCGTAAAGACAGCAACGCCACATCTTCTACAGACCCCAAGAGCAAAGTTCCATGCACTTATTGTCTCGGGATCAGTGTCTACACGAAGTACGCGTTTTTATAGTTCATTTTGATGCTTCCAGGATGCCAAAAATTGTATTTAAAGATTAATACTAAAAAATTTGAAATGTTGCAATCATTTAGAGACATGTGGCGAAAGCGTACAACTCCAGAATGTAAAGGAATTCAAGTGGATTTTTCCAGTAGTCGAGAACGTCTACAGGAATTACGAGAACGTGCTGGTACATATCAATTTTTGAAGTATGTTTTAACGTTGGAATGAAGAATTTTAACCAAGTTTTGAGGATGTTATGGCTTTTTATATACAGCATACCCTAGGAAGGATGATTTTACCTTTATGGGCCTTGGATTGTCAGTATATTCACCCGAGTGGATGGAAGAAGGTAAACACTTGCCTTATGTTAAAGGGATTGGAGTTATTGCCATTCAAACGGACACGGACGAGCTCATGAAGCAGATTGAGGAACATAAACGGATTAAACGGGAACTGCAGAAGAAGACGGGGAACAAAGGAGATTTACAGGATGGAAATGATACTGGAGACGATGAGGAGGAGACGTTGGTGCACGATGAAGAAGATGATGACTTTTATGACTTTGAAGATGGGAAAACGACGGATGAAGGTCATGCACTTGTGGAAAATGAAGTGGTGCGTGGTTTGAAGACGCCGCGAGGACCAGCGGTTGTGCCGGCATCAATTACAATGGCGGAGGTGAGAGACCGAGCGGTGGAGAAAGCCAAGTACTCTGTGAATGCCATGTACAAGTTTTGGGAACGTCGACTGGATGGGTTCAGTGAAAGGTATGTGGACTCATGTCGACGATTGACAAAGCAAATGGAGAAACAGGCAAAGAGCACGCCACATAATGTGATGTGGCTCGTGCATCGTATTGAAGAGTATGTCGGTGGGAAAGATGATGGTGAGAAGTAGGGATGAAAAACGAGGGTCGCACATGTCGGTGAAACAGATGACATGTAGCAAAATAAACAGATTCAAGAATCCCCAATCTTTGGAACATTCGAGTTTGTTTACATTCTGGCACGATTTGTCCAGGGTGGTTCACGACCGACCTGCCACGTAGAAATTTCTTCCCTTTTATCTCTGCATTCCCAAATCGCAAAAGTGGAAAGAAGATCAGTTGACAACAATGCAGTTACGTCACTTACGTATTCCAGTGCCAGCGATAAAGACTTTAAGCGGTTCCAGTCGATATCTGCTGGCTATTCTAGCCACTTTAGACAATTACAATGATGAAAGCTCTGAAACTTTTGACGAAATCATTGTGTATCTCCACGGATTCCCAGATATGAGTGTTGTACACCCAATCAAGGTGGAATTTGCTTCTCGAATGCCTGCCAAACTAGCGGAATTTTGGCTGAATCCACGACAGGAGAAGAAAAAAGTGGCACTTTTAGCTTTCAACTTTGGTGGTATTCCAGGATCGGATAATGAGTTGCGATTTACGGACAAAACCATCTCCCAAGAGGTTGAGGATATGGTAGCAGTGTGTAGATACACCCGCTCTCATCTTGTAGGTGAAAGAGGAAAGCTGCATGTCGTTGGACTCTCCACTGGAGCCATCTTGGGTGCTTTACTGCGTGACAAACAGGTATCCGATACAATCACAGTGATTGCCGGGTTGCTGGACTTGACGAAAGGCGTTCACTTTGATTTCAACCAGTCGCAACTGGATCAGAGTTCTTCTCAAGGCTGGTGCTGGAAAGAATTCTACCTGGAAGAAGGCTGTCCATTGACAAAAAATGTCGAGCTCTCTCTTGATGGTGTTCACCCGACGACTGAGCTAAATGATGCAACTGCACCTTCAAAGATCTACGTGCGCTTAGACGAACGATACATCAACGAGTACTACGATGGTACCTTGGATATCCTTCAAGCTGTGTCAAAACCTGGATTGCCACCACTGCTGGTGATCCATGGCGACGCTGACCATGACGTACCATTTCAGAATGGTAAAGAACTCTTTGCAGCTGCAGCCGAGCCAAAAACATTCCTAGCGATTCCAAAAGCCAACCACATGCTTTCAAATTCCAAGCATCTGAAGAAGGCATTGCATGCAATCCGAAAACATGTTGAAGCCGCGGACCTGCAGAACTAGCACCATGTTGACTTAGAACGTGATCCAAGACGACATGGCACACCTTATCAAAAAACGGGAGCTTGTCCCTGCGAACGTATTTACCTCGAGTAGCAATCTGCTTCTGGTGACTAACTCTACTTTCAACTGTTCTTGCCTCGACCATACTCTAAATATACTCGTCTATCAACTGAATACGGATGAAATCTCTCTATCCAGTCTCGACATTCACATGTTTATCCGATCAATACCGTCATGAAGCCCTGGTGCCTAGACATCATCTAGTACCAAATGACACGTTTATGTCCCACATAAACTGGACGAAAAGTCACGAAAAAACATCTGGCATGAGTAATCACACAGTTACCAAAACTCAGGTACAAAAAAGGAACGCAATTCTCCAAGCAGAAATGAGCATCCCACGACATGCTACTTACCGATTTTATACTTAGATCTAATCATAATTATCCAAATATCTAGATATTTTTACTCGATTAACCAACGGTTGTTTCTATAGTATCTTAACAGGATCAACCATCATTCCTTCTCTTCTAACGTCCACTCGTTTTATCATTATTTTTTTTTAAATTTTACCTACAAGTACATAACGTTCTACCTTTTTTCTATAGTTTTCTCTAGTGACCTCATATTTTTGTATCATTATAGAAAATGCCTCGTAAAGTTTGTCTTGTAGGTTCTGGGAATTGGGGTTCCGCCATTGCTCGTATCATTGGTGAAAATACGAAAAAACTGGTCGATACATTTGAATGTGATATTAATATGTGGGTTTTTCAAGAACAAGTCAATGGTCGAAATCTCACGGATATTATCAACTCGGAACATGAAAATGTCAAGTATTTACCTGGTTATAAACTACCAACTAACATTATTGCTGTTCCTGATCTATTGGAGGCTGTCCGTGATGCCGAGATTCTTATTTTCTGTGTCCCGCATCAATTTCTTGGACGAATGTTGGTCTCTATTAAACAACAAGGTCTTAAAGAAGGTGCCATGGCTGTGTCTTTAATTAAAGGCATTGATTTTGATGACAATGGAGTTGTCTTAGTATCCGACCTTATTCGTAAAGGATTAAACATTGACTGCAGTGTCCTCATGGGTGCAAATGTTGCCAATGAAGTAGCAGCGGGAGATTTTTGTGAATCGACACTTGGGTGCTCTGATCTTCGTCATGGTGCAATATTACGTGAACTTTTCAATGCTCCCAAGTTTCATGTGGAGGTGGCATTGGACCCACATGGTGTCGAAATGTGTGGGGCATTAAAGAACGTTGTGGCACTAGGTGCCGGCTTTTGTGATGGTCTCAAGTACGGTGGTAACACCAAAGCTGCCATTATCCGGATCGGTCTCAGCGAGATGAAGAAGTTTTGCTTCAAGTTTTTTGATGGTGTCAAGGAAGACACGTTCTTTGAGAGCTGTGGCATCGCCGACCTTATCACCACATGCTTTGGTGGTCGTAACCGCAAATGTGCAGAAGCTTTTGTGACTCAGAAAACGACGTGGGAGGAGCTGGAAAAGACCATGCTCAATGGCCAGATGCTACAAGGTACGCTCACGTCCAAGGAGGTGTACGGTATTTTAAAGGACCACAACGCCGTGAACCAGTTCCCTCTCTTTGCAGCCATCTACCGCATCGCTTTTGAAGGTGCTGACCCTGCTACTATCACGGAGCTCGAGTCCTCGCACTAGACGAATGACGATAATATAGCCACCGTTCACTGGAAAAATACATATACTTTGGTCACGAGTGACACGTACACAGCAATAACAAATCGCTCCCTTTGCATCTGAAAACGTCACTGTTTAGCGAGAGGAATAGGCTACCAACCACTCGTTTCTCTATTGTGTTATCTCTTTCAAGCCCGAGGTCATTTCAAACCATGGATGACCATTTTCCAGGTGTGTATAAGGAGCTTTTCACGCGTGACTTTGAGCGTCTGCATCGCAAGATCACAAAGGAAGCATGTGACCAACTAGATGGCAAAGGGTATGTAGTAATTGACAACTGTTTCGGTCATAATTGGGCTAGTGCTTTGCTTGAGGAGATGCAATGGTTGAATGAGAAGCAGTATTTCAAGCCAAACAAGACGCAGTTTACGTTGACTCAAAAGGGTTTGGATGCTAAACCTCAAGCTTTCTACTTCGTTAAGCCCCATATTTTTGAGATAGATTTGCATGATGCCTCCTTACGGACAAAAGTTCCAGAGCTCGACGCGTTATTCCATTCGATAGAGCTGGTACAGGTCTTGACGACTCATTTGCCGCAATACGAGCTACAGTTTGGAACGTCGAATCGGACGTTGAAGCTGCAACACAATGTCGGACAAGGAGGCTGTTTTCCATGCCACTATGATAACCCTGGAGCTCCAAACAAACGCAAAGTTACATGTTTGTTGTATTTGAATGAAAGCTGGAAACAAGGCGATGGAGGTGAGGTGCAGCTTTTCCCCTTCTTACAGCCAACGGTAACAATAGCTCCGAAAATGGACCGAGTGGTTCTCTTTCAAAGTGACTGCATGCTTCATCGCGTGCTACCGTCTCATTCGAAGCGGTATGTGCTTACTATTTGGCTAGACGGTGTCAAGGTGAATGCACCGGAAGATACGCAGCTTCGTTTGAGTCCAAGCGATATGGCCGATTGGTTCGGTTTTTTGAAAAGAATGCAGCGATCTCCAGTGCAGCGGTTGTTGTCACGAGGTGTGTACGAAGAGGAATACTACGAGTCGTTGATGGAATGTATGCAGAACACGGCAACTGAAGGATGCGTAGAGCTGCTCAAGTCGCATGAGACCCATTTGGAAAATGTCAAGCGCAATGTTCCGCTGCATAATTTTATCAAACGATTACGTGACGTCCGAGCAATGAATAGTGAGGAACCTGTGTACGTGGGCTGATCGAATGTGAGTTGACTCAAGTGATCAGCTTGTTAAAGACTGAATCTTAGCAAGTGAGCTATGCTCAAGGTGTTAAGACCGAAAAAGCCTGCTAGAGGCATTTGCATTTTGCTGCATTGTACTGGATGACGTTCTACTGAATGGGAGGCTTCGAAGCTTTATGATGCCTGTACGCTGAAGATGTCGTGCTTTGTTTTTTGATGATGGGAGAGTTGTAAAGTCTTAGGAACACGTGGAAAAGTTGGTTGATGGACGTCAATTTTACTGCCCTACGCGTCAAACGGTGGTCATGAAATTCCGCTGCTTTTTTCTTAGGTGCTGTTTGGATTTCTTGCAAATTGTCGGATGGAATGTCACCTTTGGTAGTAAGGAAAGGGTCTTCCGAAGCGTGAACATGCGACTTGCAAACTCAGTGTCAAGCTGATTTTACATTCCGAAGCAACATGTACAACAGGGTCAATGCATACCTTTCGGAGGTAGAACTTGTTAGGTTATATGCTACCTTTATGGACTGCCCTTGTTTGGGGGCATGCAAGTGTGTCTCTGTCTTTTTTTATAGCTTGCTGGCCCTGCTTCTTTGGAATGACCGTCTTGCCATCTTCTTCTTTCAAAGCTCTTTTCAACATCCATCAGGTTACTAGTACCTACTTCTCTACAACGAAAGCAAGGATGCTGGCAACTTCAAACACCGCTCATTCGTTCCTCTACAAAGTTACCGAATGTGCTCTATTTAGACATTGGACCTCTTGTGAGCTCTACTCATGCATACCCTCGACCTCATTCTTCGACGGCTGGAGATTAGTTACTGCAAAAATGTTGGTAGGGTCCAGCGCGTTTTTTATACCCCGGATGGCCGCGATGGCTGGAGGTGATACTGCTTGTGGCAGCCATGCAAGACGGTGCTTGCCAACGCCGTGGTGATGCGACAGAGCGCCACCATTACGCACGATAGCGTCCACAGCAGCCAATTCCGTTTCACGAAAGAGATTCATCGGCTCGTTAACGCCAAAGTAGTTGATACCGTAGTACACGTACACGCAGACTCCAGCTCCGTAGACTTGCGACACGCGACAAGCGATAAGTGGTGGAATCTTCACGTTACGCTTAGCGGCCACCGAGTTGATCGCCAGCTTAATATCGGTAATGAGCTGACTCACGTTTGTCCAAGGTACGGCCGTTTCAAAAGACTCGCTCATGAAATAATAGTCCAAAGCAAAGTCACGGAGGTACGCAATGACGTATGTAAAGAAATAGCCACGTCTACCGTTCTCTTCTCCACCAATCATGCCTTCATGACGCTTGGCAATAGTATGGATGCACTTGAGCTGCTCCGTCACCTTCTGCTGATTGGTTCCTTCAAGCAAAACAGTGGCAGCACACATTTCATTCACATCAAATCCACAAATCTTGGTCACGTACGTTTTCTTTGCAAAGTCAAGGACGCCAGTGGTAAACCTGTTAGTCGTCGATGATGTTTTAAGTGCCTGACCCAGCTGGAACTGCGTATTGTCCAGCAGACGCAGCGACGCTGGTTCACACCCAGCACGAGTAATGTCCTTAAGTGCTGCTAGTCCATGTTCAAAGCTTGGAAAAATGAGCGAGTCGTAAACTTGGACAGTAGGAAGTTCACAGAGACGTAAAGTCACCAAAGTGTGGACACCAAAGATACCTTCCGACCCCATCATAGCATGATTTATATCCGGTCCCATTGCAGCACGAGGTACATTCACAGCACGCTGCATTGTTCCCTGTGGCGTCACGGTTGTAATATTGATCACAAGGTCTTCAATATTACCATATTTGTTTTTCTTCATCCCTGAAGCACGTGTAGCAATCCATCCACCAAGTGTTGAAAATTCCCACGAATCCGGTTCATGTCCTAGCGTCAGTCCTCGATGACGTAATCGTTCATGAAGATCAAATCCAGTAATTCCTGTTTCCACTACTGCCACTAAATTTTCTCGGTCGATACTCAAAATCCGTCTCATTTCTCGCATATCCAGTGAAACAATGGCCCGTCGTTCCTTCGGATTACATTCCAGAGCGTTCGTCACATTCGTTCCACCTCCAAATGGAATCAGACACACAGAAGCAGCAAAATTCTGTGTCGCTTCATGTATTAACCGTTCGACTTGGTCATGCGATGTGGGCCACACCACGGCATCGGGCACACGGTCCATGTCCTTTTTATGACGAAGACGAAACACGTCTTCACATGTTTGGCCATGTCCATGTCGGATCCGCTCTTCAACTGTAGTACTGGCCTTTATATGCATCTCAGTGCTCACTAAGTGTAAAAACTGCTCCAATTTTGTCCATATCGGTCCATGCTCTTCCAATTGATTGCGTAGCTGGAATTCCTCGATACATGTGATACTAGGTGGACTCGTACGCTTAATATCCAAACCAAGACGTTTCTCAGCCCATATGAGCAAAGAAGGAAGTGTACGATCAGATGCAGTAGCAAATATGTCGGCATAACGAGCACCTGATATTTCAATGATGTTGTCCTGATTGACAAATAATTTCGTGTCTTCATAACCCCATCCATTCCATCGCGTAGTAGGATTAACGAACAATGATGGAGAAGACGGAGAAGAGGAAGAAGACGATGGTAATGTACATTTACTCGAAGAAATTTGATGGAGAAGAGTACGCATACGCACAAGAGAAGGCGTCACGTCAGACATGTCGAGCTGATGCTTGTAAACTGACTCGGTTCGAATGATGGAATCAGAAACTGAGTCTTGGCGTAATGGCTACTTTTGAAATTCTAAATTTACAAATATAATCTCTCATGTATTAGCATACTATTTTAAAAATATTACATAGTATTATATTAATATTTAAGAATTATTACTGTCTCGAATCAGATCATCTTGATCTAAATTCTGTATTAATTCTATACTCATTCATCATGTTTAGTGTAACCGAAGTATCTTCTTCCTCCAGTACTTTTCACCCCTCCCCCGATGCTTATAATCTAGATGAAGAATACGGTAGAGATGCAGCAGCCAAATTATCTCGTATCTTACTAATGCTAGAAACTGCAGGATTTCCAAAAGCTCATGTAAGTTCCTATAGTGCCTTTGACCGTGTTTTGAGCGGCATTACGTGGCTATTAGAGCGAATTGTACGTCGAGAAGACGCTGAGAGAGGAAGAATTCAATGGAATGTACTATTTCAATCCCATGACAAGATGAAACCTCGTCTGGGGTTTGCTCAGGAGGTCGTGCGTTGTGTGGAAGGGCTGAATTATGACTGTCCAGTAGCTCTTCAGCCCCATCAGTTGCTACTTCAGGACTTTGGAGACATTGAAATAGTGGAAAAACTAACTGTATGGTTGATAAATGAGGAACGAGAAGCTCATCACCTTGAAAAAAGTCGACGGGAAAGAGCGTTTCTGAAGGGGATGGGCCTATCTGACGAAATGAAACATGTCGCACCGTTTAAAAAAGGGGTCGAGGTTTTATTGGAGGCGTATGTACCGAAAAGACGGTGGCAATATCTTGCAACTGAAGGAGAACAGGAAGAATCGGAAGATGCTTTAATTCAGCAATGTTTACTGGAGTATGGAGAACGAATAACTGTTATTGTTAATGAAGAGAAAGAACCGACAATGGAGATACAAGAAGATAAAGAAACAAACCAAATGGACTTTATGGCACAGATTGCTAGTCAAGTCGCAGCAATTGCTGCAGGCAGAACATCGAAACCACAAGGTGTGAGTATGAGAGGGTTGAGACGATTAAAGAAGAATGATCCGCAAGCAGTTGATTTCGACCGACAATTTCAAAAGGCAAAGAAGCAAGCAATGAAGATGCAACAGGATCAGCTAAATCAACGGCGTGAGCGCGAGGAAGAGTTGATGCAGAGAGTTATTTCTGCGCCAGAGGAAAAGAAGGATCATACAGAAGGGCGTGTAGGATTGAACATACAATCCCCGTTGCATTTGGTAAGAGCACAGTTGAAAGATCACGAGCTGCACGTGCAGCAACTGATCAAAGACAAAACGGAGTTAAATGGTAAGATGAAGGAATGTCATGCACGGGCAACTGCACTAGATGAAGCACTTTCGGCTGTAAAACTGGAAATGGAGGAGGTAGAAGCGCAGACACCAAAGGATGCGGCGACCCAAGAACACCTGGTGAAGTTGCAACAACTAATGAAAAAGAATGAGGAGCTCAAGCACGAGAAGAATGAGTTTCGAGCGAAGTGTCGGCTCGAGTTGGAAACGTTGCAGGAGCAAGTTGAGAAATTAAAGTTGCAAGTGGCAGAAGACGCGAGCAATCAGGACGAAGAAGCACAGCGTTTAAATGAGATCGAGCATATGCATGCTCAAGTAGCCCAGAAGCACAAGGAAATGAAGCTTGAAGCATCCAAACAGACTCGTGCAGTGCACCTAAAAATGAAGCAAATTGACGAGATTCCCACCCGCATTGAATTAGTGCAGTACGAAAAGCGATTTGTGGAGCTTTATGACGAAGTGGCTCTGACGCTAGATGAAACGCGAAAGTATTACTGCGTTTACAATACGATCAAGACCACACACGAATTTTTAGAGAAGGAGATCTCACTGATCAACAGCATCAGCGAAAATTTTGATGTCGCGATGAGCTCCAAGGCCGCAACGCAAGCATTTTTCATGCAAATTGAAAACATTATTCATAGCGTGCAAGGCACAGTCGCCAAGCAGAAGATCGCACGGGACGACCACCAGTGCAGGGTGGAAACGCTGGAAAGCAAATATCAGTTGTTGCTCGAACAAGAGCGAACATATGTAAATGCAATCCGCCAGTTCCAAAAGGAATGCGAAATGAACGAGAAGCTGCTCGCTAGACTTGAGGAGTAAGTACAGCAATAAACTGCGTTTGGAAGGACGATAATTGGTATTTGGGCATCGCGTTTCCGAGTCGAGTTATATTGCGAGTCGTTTCGGAGTCATTAGCCTGTCGAATGAGTTTGTGCCACACCAGCAAGTCGACTAACAGCAAAAGACCTGATGTTCGACAATAGACTCGCAAAGTAATTGACTGTTGCTGCTGGCGGTGGAAAAAGGAACAATGACTTACATTGCACTACACTGACAACGTCATTGTGCCAGTCAAATCTGCAGAAGAGCTGAAATTTTGCGCACGACATTGCTAGCTAGTTATTGTCTATTGCTCACTTTGGAAGTAGCAAGTTATTTTTTTTACGTTTCTGTAATACTGCGTCGCATGAAACACTTTTTGGTTGTTCCAGGGCTTTGCATTTGTTTCTATATGGTAGTAGCAATGCCATTGTCGGTCCTACCAATCCTTTTTATTCTATTGTCTATTGTATCAATATCCCTTGACTTTTTCACCTACTTTCTCTCTGGTAGCCTCAAGTTGATGGCAAAGATGGACGTGGGGGTAACACGCACAGCAACGCTATCAGCATTGCCCATTCATTACGAACTCTTAACACTTCAATCATCACGACGCAAAAATGCAAGCCGTCGTTTGCGTGTGCTACTTTATCTGTTGCCGTGGCGCCCAATACTTTTGCCACAAAGCACCAGCTAGAGTTACAATGTTAGAAGGTTGTCCACATAATAGCGAACGAGCGTAAGTAAAGCGATAGAAGAAGTGATCTTGGCTCTGCAACGCCTCCAAGTCTTCAAAGTCATCTATCGACCTCGTAATAGCAATGCACTGCACAGTAAGTGATTTTACAAAACGAAGACTGACGCCGGAGGTCAAGTCGAGCGTTTCAAGGCCCGCCTTGTTGCGTGTGAAATTGTGCTGGCATTGGCAGTGCTTTAGGGCGTTGTAGCTCAGCATGGCAACGTGACAAACGCCTGAGAGTGTACTGGACATTTTTTTTTGCATGTACCGGATAGAATTGAACTTAATCTTACGCTTATGATGGATCCAGCAACTTAGGTACATTTCCTCTTTTACAAATCCTAGGACGGTCCTGCGTAGCTGATAATTATGTTCATTTGAGTGAGTCGCTGCGGTTCCGTGTGGCAGGCGTCTGAAAAATGTCGGCGCTCTAAGTGTTATGACTGAACGGAAAGAAAAAGAAACAGACGCAATGACTGCATTTAAAGGACAATGAAGGGTATGTATAGTACCTGTAGCTGGTTCTTCCTCTATATGTAAGTATGCAGTATAAGTCATTGCACGACATCAGACAATCACCACTGAATTTTTAGCGTCAGTGGACTCACTGAGCGACGCTTTTGAGCTTGAAAAGATGATGCAGACGATCTGGAGTGAGATTAGTAGCTGTTTGAAAGATAAAGTTATACAGCATCCTCCATTTACGATCATTTCTGCGAAGTTTAACCGATTATCGTTATCGATTGCGATAGTATTAGAATTTAATCCCTTTGCATGCTGATTATAGTACCAATTACTTTTGCATAACGTAATTAAAATGAAGTTTATAAGAAATTAATTCATACAGGTAAAAACATAGGATCGTAACTCGGCCTGTCTGAAACACGTGCAGCAGATTATGGGTACCCAAAGTTAATGTTGTCGAATTGTACGGACTCGACCACTGTTGACCAACATGAACTTCTTACGCTGGGCACCACAAACCGGCTCACCTTTTCCTATCAGAATGGACACTTATGTATTAGATGCTAGCGCTTTTCTACCCAAAAGCAGGTAGTCTTATACCGTACAGCATATTAATTCTTTCGCTGCTTGGGCGTGATCCATCCAACGAGCAATATGGTGAGACATCGAAAAAATCAGATTAGATATGAGAGAGCTAGCATTGCTATTTAATGGTAACACCATTTGTGTCGCGATAGCTACAGCCTACAAAAAGTAAGTCAAATTTCTGATCCGTAGTCCCCGATTATGTCTACGTTTTCATGTCAAGCGACCCCTCGACAAATGTCTTTTCTTCCACCAATTAGAGAGATTCGAATACCTTACAAACTTGATGTCATATGTAAACAATACGTTATAAGGATAAGTTCAAGGAAAATTACGAATTGCACAGCTTTATAACAACCACCAAATATGGACCTAAAGTCTGTTTTTGACTAGCTTATGAGTTACGACAGGCCTTCACTATGCATTAATTACTCTAACCATATTATCCCATGTACAACTATACGCCCATATTTACAAAAGTCCCGTCTTTCACGCCGTTTGTCGTCATGCGATCGTACACACTTTGCCCGTATCAGGCTCCCGTCACCTTTCAATCATCCATTTTTTCCCAACGCCGAAACTCGTTTGCGATTCAATTGCTAATCTGTCTATCTGTTTTTCAATCCAATATCAATGCAGCCATTGAATTCAGAAGAATTGACTCAGAAGGTATCCAATGCCAATGTCAATCCCAATATTAAGAAACGAAGGGCTTACGTTAAAAAGGAAAAGGGGAAGAAGAAGCGGCACGTGAAAGGAGACATTGTCACACCAAGTGAGACGAGAGTCACGCTAAAGTCCGAACTTCGTATCAAGTCTTTAAAAATAATACCGGCGACCATTCGAAGTCTTGGACCGTATCGAGGCAAGTGTCTGTACCAGTCTCGCAAGTGCGAGAACGAACGGGCCGTTAAACGGAATGGTCAACCTCATAACTTATGTGAGGGTCATCGTTTGAAACAGAACCAGCATCAACGCAAGTTTGACGCTAAAAAGTTTATATGGAAGCGACATCGAGAGAACGAGTCGGATGACGACGTTAACGGTAATGGAGACAAGTTCCAGTCGCATCAAAATGATGAGCCGGTAGTTAAACGCCATCGGGTTATGGCCAACCAAGAAGAGGAGACGGAGGTGTCAACTGTGATGACTGACTTACAACATACGACACCAATGGTAGCACCTATGAAAGGGAACAACCCTTCAACATACGCTGCAGGATTCACGCCCATGTCTCCTCCTATAATGACCAAGTTACCGCTACTGCAAAGTTCTCGACGGCCGATCTTGCCCACGCCACAAGAAATCTTGTACGGGTCTGTTAGTCCAGGTACCAGTCCTGAATCGTATCTTCGTGGCCACGTGGAGCTATCCGGTTATCGACCTAAAGCTGATGGTCAGCAGTCTTCACGTGGTAGCCATCATTCGAATGTGCCAGCACAGCAAGTTACTGGATATACACACTCGGAGCTTTTGGCTGCTAGTATTTTGGTGCAGCCGCAGTCATATGCCTTCCGAACTGCGCTGTCAACACCGACGAGTCGTAAAAGTGGTTTTTTTACAGCACGACCGGGTCTAGGAGCGATAACTAAACCCCCACGAATGTTCCTTCCCTCGCTGCTTGATCCTCCTTCAGCTGCATTGTCAGCGAGCTCATGCCACCGCGTCAGCGGTACGTTGTCATCTACTGCACAGCGGTTTGCATCCGTTGCAGTCAATCCAGCCGCCAGCGTTTCGTTCTTTTCGACTCGATCAGAAGGAAAGGCGCTTCCGCCTTTGATGTCATTTGGACGACAACAGTCGCCGGCATCGCCATTGTTGATCTCCAAGCAGTCAAAGTAAGTGAAAAACGAGTTACTCAGGTTAGATGAACAATCTCAAGCGTCTTTTGCTGTCAAAGCCGATGTAATGAGTGGAAATGTGATTGTCAAAAGATAGGACTATTTGGAAGACTAGAGTACACTGGAGGAGATGATTATAAAAATGAGACGAAGCTCGTTCAGCGAGCGATTGGAAATCCTTCGGCCCTGTTGTCCGTTTGTTTTATGTTCAAACACTAAAAAAATGACACCATGCGTGTCTGGCGGCCTTGCTTAGCGAAGTCCAGTTTGTTGTAACTGCCAACTGGGCAAAAAATAGTTGCTGGAAAGCAAGCATTTACCAAGTCAATCAAACACCACTTATTCAAGAAAATGTTCCAGAGCATTCAAACGTCCGTTTTCACCCCACATGTTCATCCATTCGAACGCTGTTTGTCAACTGCTGTGAACGGCTCAGAGAAGCATTTTCCGATGAAGTCCAGCCAGCGTTATTACTCAATCCCGCGTTCCTTGCTACAAAAAGCTGGACAATATCGATATTGATTCGAAGCTGTATGACTTATTCCTGTACTATTGCTTCGCTTCCAGTGAGACTGTCACGATGGTCGTGTATTGCCAATCCAATGCCCTCGTCAGCAAAGTCCAACCATTTCGTGTTTAAATTGCTGACACAACTTGATCCTACGAATATCGTAGCACCAAATTGTATTAGCAAGCTCACAAATGGTACGTGACTGTTCTGAGCTTCAGTGATAGTGAAGTTTCGTCCGCCAAAGTGATCATTGCGCTCTAATTAATATAAGAATCAATTTAGTGGCACCAAAACTTCCAGCTTCGCACGCGACAAAGAAGAGTGACTGCGTTTTGTCGTCTTCTTCAACAGATTCCTTCTATCTCTGCTGGTGTAACGCAACGTGGCAAGTACCGGCATGACTACGGCCATTGAATGGTAACGGTTAAAAAGCGGAATTGAGGTGTAGTTACAGGATCGACGACTAATGTTGACAACTATATATAAGCGTTTATTTCTTTGCAAACAACGAATTGTCTTATAAGCACCACCTTGTCTTCATTCCTTTGGCATCTCGAAGTCCTTTAAGAATTACATTTTGTACCCATTGTATCTATAGATGCACTTTTACTACCACCTTTTTGCAGGCTCTAATTTTTGATCAATTCGTTTAATGTGATATTGGAGACTTGCACCTTGCGTTTTGGCAGGTGTAGCCATGTAGTCGAGGGTAGGTCGCAAGGGTGGGTACACTCACTCCACACCGAACTTTCATTTTCCGACTTCTTCATCATCTGGTTTTAGTGCTTCTGAATACTTGCAGTCTTCTTTGTCATCAAATTCTTTAACTTGTATATTTGAGGAGCCTTTCAACAAGACACTTTTTGGTCTTTTGACACAATCTACTGGACGATTATTACGAGTACTAATGGGTAAAAAGCAAAAGAAGTTTGTAGTGAACATCTACCTCTATAAGTGTCAAGACCTGATAGCCGCCGATATGGACGTCGTGGGTGGCAAGAGTGACCCGTACGTGGTATTTACACTAGACGGTGTGACCAAGAAGAGTTCGTGCATTAGGAACAGTCTTAACCCGCAATGGTCACCGCCTGAAAAGTTTCAGCTTGAAGTGGACGAGTGGGAGAAAAAGTTTCTTATTGTGCAGGTGTTTGACTACGACCGACTGAGTATGGATGATCTTATTGGCTCCGCGGTGATCCCCTTGGGGATCTATGCAGGCAACCGACATAGCGGGATGTACAGCTACCCGTTGGTGCTACCGGACGAGGTGGGTGGAATGGGAGCTCTTAGAAGCGACTTGTTCCTGCAGATTACCTTAACGAATAGGGATGGCAGTCCCGTCGAGTGTTACTACTAGGAACTAACGTAATGGCGTTACACAAAAATATATTAGCACCGCGACGTTCGCGGTGTAGAAAAAAGAAGAATGTGTTGAAATTGGTCTAATGTACCTAGTAGATGACTAAGGTCCCAGGAATTCGACGGCACAAAACTATTTAAATGGTTTCAAGTTTGTGGTGGACCGTAACTTACTGATGTGGAGCTATATTGCCACCACCTTCATCGATGAAGCGGTAGGTGTACAGTTTGGAGCTGACTGTAACTGGATAAAAACCCAGGCTGTGTATGACATGGAAAGACTAGAGCTGTGTGGGAAGGACAACGCAATGTGTGCCCTTATTTCACGCCGCGTAGCATGGGAAAGTCGTCATGTCCGCTTTTGTGGCTGTGAGTGCCACGTCAAATCAATGCATCAGCTGGTTTCTTGCTGCAGCTCCAAAGACAAAAAATGCATGGTGCTAGACAAGGACGAAATAAATATATGGACCTATAAAGTCTCGCTGGGAAAAACGCAACGCAAAGCACGGGATCTTCCGACCTCTTTTTTCTGATTGCATCTTCACCGTTCATATCTAAACTACATCATGCGTTTCTACTTCAAAAGGTGTTGTTTCATGTATGTACGTATGCTCAGTTTCCATTGCGGTGGCACATGGATCACTGACACGAATTGCACAGTGACTGCCCTCAGAAAATCGACGAAGGTGCAGGTTTAAGTAAGCTCTTGGTCAATTCCACGGCTGTAAGTTTTGCCACAGGTTCCTCGCACGGTTCTGAAAAAAGGTCGTTCGATCGTAGAATCAATCACCATTTGATTTGTCATTTTACGGCTCATCCGTCCTTTGACAAAGGTTGGTCTTTAAATGGGACGTAAGGTTGTACAGTATTCCTTCTGCTTCGTTGCCAATGGACATCAACAATTATTACAGTACCTGTCCAATTATATTAAGTACTCTATTACGTCCCATCTGCTGAGATTTGATCCCTATCCTCTGTCTTCCTTACAGTGATGCGTCCCTTCGTCCAACCGTATTCCTTGCTCTTTTTGGTCGCAGTTACATAAAAAGTAAGATAAAAACAAATAGTCTCCCACGAAGGGTGTACAACAGCGACAGCCACTTGATTTTTTACACACTGCGTTTATATCGATGCAAAAAAAGCAGATATCGCAATGTTACAAGTAAACCAGAGGACTGAACCTCTTTATTAACCTTAGACATATTTTAATAATCTGGATGTCGTCGGGTATTCGATAGTCCAAGAGAGCAAAAAGGGACAACGAACGACCGAATGTTCGCCCGTCCTTAAAAAATGTTAAGCGATAGGCCGATATTCAAGCCCCCCCCCCCCACTCGTTTGTCCCATTCCATTATTTAAAAATCGATCGATCACTATGAGTCGCACGGCCACCAATAAAACCACCGGTCATGCGCCTTCCACTTTAATGCTAGAACGAATGCAGGAAGCAGCTTCAGACTTGGCTATTTTAGCTACGACTACTCAAGGATGGCGATTTGTTAATGAACGTAATGGTGCAATGCTTTACGAAATGACAGGACGCAATTTACCATCAAATGTTACGACAGCCAAGAAATTTGGACGTGGAGCAGGTCATTCATCGGATTATTATACTGTACGAGCAGTTACAACGGTACACACGGGTGTAGCTGCAATGTTGGATCTATTGCATTCCTCAACTACCGATGAGTTTCGACTTGTTATGAAACAAATTTTTCAAGAGAATTTTCAGAATGGAGTCACGTTAGACAAGTTGACTTGTACTACTCCACCACCATTTGCAGAAGACCCGGATGCTGGAGCAGAAGGTGCAAGACGAAGTTACTCTGAGGACGACTCGTACTCGGTTAACTGGTTAACACTTAAAGCACAAGCCAAGCTAGACAATGTGGAAAACAATCGAGATTTTACACTTGTTTGCTATCAGGATGCCTTCTCTCGGCACGACTCGGGGGTCTTGGAGCGCGTTGGACGGGGCTCAGTAAGGACCCGATCGGACACGTTGAATTTTCAACCACAGAGCAAATTGGTTGGCGTGCATGTACTCAGCAGCGTCAACTTTCAGGATGTCCCGGAGTTGCCGATTCCCGATTGTATGGACAGGCTGCACTTTCGGAATTCCGGATTCGTTATTGAAGAGACTTCGGAGCCCAATGTACTGAAACTTTCCTTGCTGCTGTCATTATTGCCGACCAAGGCGACGTTAAAATATGCTAGAAAGTATCAACGTTGGCTGCAGACACTAGCGAGCTGTGTAAATAATTTGGCGCAGGTTATGAGACCAGAGGTAACTTTGCATTGTATGAGTAAGCTCACGTGGAAGCAGAGTGATCATTGTTTCATGTGTCTCAAGATGTTCCGCACGTTCCGTCGGTGTCACCACTGTCGGTTCTGCGGCGAGGCAGTGTGTGGCGCCTGCTCCAGTATGGTCAATATGGCCGGATATGAGGTTACAGACGGTAGCGGTAATACCTTGGCTGCCAATGCAGCTAACTCGCTAGCGATATCGCAACGTGGCGAGCCGATAACCACAGACTTTAGTCAGACTGGAGATGTTTGGCAAGTGTCCTCGATGAAGAGTGTTTCTAGCAGCAGCAACGGAACGCGTAACTATCGAGAGGCCCGAGGCTGCAGCGCCTGCGTTGCGGATCTCCGTCAAGGTCTAGCGACCTCTGGCACTGTAAAGACACGGCGATTCTCCGACTCTGGAAGCAATTACAGCGGTGAGAATATGCAAGCTTCATTGAGAATTGATCGGAGTATCAGCAATGATGATGATGAAGTGATCTCATACGACAGCTCTGACGATGTCAACTATGAACGTCGTCTGGGCTCTATAGCGACGTATATCCCATCGCAATGTGGTGTTGGTGCGATGGTCGAGGAGGATGGACGATACAGTATCAGCTTTCTAGGGGATGAACCGCTAGATGACTTTCCAGTCATGTTTGAAGAACTGCAGGATGAATTTCCAGCAGTGGACGAGCCAGCTTCCTCGCGCTTCCGAAATGTGTCTGATCCAGACGAGCTACGTCGCATGCGTAATGTGTCGGACCCAGATCTGCCACAGCGTCTTAATGATAAGCATAGTATGGTGTCGATGTCTACAGCGAGCAGTTCATTCTCACGTTCGTCTAACGATCGTTACACCAACGACAACGCGTTGCAGCACTCGCGCGGCACCACGTCGGACGATTTTTCGGCTTCCGATCTCTCTCGTGACCCGGACATCCTGGCTCTTGCCGGGCTAAAGCCTAGGCCGTCAGATGACCAATATGAACCTGTTTCGATACAGCGCCCGCCACTTACTCGCAAAAAAAGTTGCGAGCAGGTTCATAAATATGAGGAGCCTGAAATGGAAAAGGTGCTGGAACCAGGTTGTAAGACAAAGAGCTACGAGGCTTTTTCCACTGCGCGGCTTAGAAATACTGGCGCTGATGCTCGATATCGAAGCAACACAACCAGCACACGTGATGATTATGCTGTATCTCAAAGTAATATGCTTCGACCTGCAAATCGTCTTCGGCACCGTAGTCAGACCAGCGCCTGGAATCCCGCTGCAACTGCTCCATTATCCTCTACGACTTTAGCGGAGAACTCGAACGACAACCCAAACAACTTCGCAAAATCTAGCATGCACCCTGCTTTGAATGGCTTCAAGCTAGAAGCTCGGTCGAACACGTCAGGTGACAGCAGCGGTCAATTCCAGTTTTCAAGGATGAAGAGTGAGCCATCAACCACAGCGACTGCGGCCGTAGCAGCCGCATTCGTAGGATCAGCCACCTCAACATCCGTACCCCAGCAAGACCAGGCCTTGTCCAGTCCGGATAGCAGCAAACTTTATATGACTTCCTCAGCTAGACTAAATTCCGTCTTGAGGCCTACGCACCAGATGCAACGACTTCCAACTTCGGTTCCGGAATACAGCACGGCATCAGAAGACTTGGATCGCAACGATATGATTCCATTGTCCCTCTCCGACCAGTCACCAGCAACTTTCGTTGTGTTCTCGGAGTCGAGGCGTGAATCCATTTTTATGCGGGTAGACGATGGTCAAGATATGATCCCGCTTGATTTTTAGTAGACGAACGCAGTCAAGGTGCAAGTTGAAATGCTCGAACGAAGAGCTATTTATCATTTGAAAAGTGTTGTAATACAATATACCACCGTGCAGCGAGTAGCTAGAGATAAACCTTGCAGATTGCGACATATTGATGTAGGTATGTGCAACGGAATAACGTTAAATTGATTAGATCTACCCACAAGTGAAGGACAACAAATGTGGTCAACTGATTATTTCATAACTCTCGATGCAGCCAAAAGTTATAGTGAGGGTGCACACTGCTACCGCCAAGTCTAACTAAGAAAAGAAGCGGTGCAATAACGTTCTCCATAACGCAAGCATAAAAAATTACTCTACGTGATGTTTTGGTTGTAAATAGAGCAGCTACTACGTTTGTGTCGTATGATGTTTGCTGCTACTTAGTAACAGTGTTGCTGGAAAACGTTAACTTAAGGCTCGCACAGCATCCTTTGTTGCAAGTCGCCAACATACACTAATTAAGGTCGTGACACAAATTGAAATGAAAGGCATTAACTTTGCGATGATGACGATACTGAACTATCAAAAATCGTGGCCTACCAAGGACAATTAGGTCGGCGCGTTGTACATATAGACTGCCATGACAAATCGACTACTTGTCCACGATTCTTGTTCAAGCAATTCAAAGCAACGTCTTGATAAGGGGTCTTTTACAATGCACGTAGAGGGTTCACACTCTTGTCCTTGTAGAATCTTCACGACGTAGCATTCGAAATTCAGTATGCATGTATCAATCAAAGTTTAGATCTCGTAAGCCTCTTTATTCACTCTCAAATCAGTATTACCAATAAAATTCCTCTACTGGGCTGCCGTCTGCCGCTAAGAGACTTATCTGTAGAAACATGTCGCTCTTGGGTGACCCCAATCCGCCTACCTCATCTGGTAGCACCAATGGGTAACTGCAAATTTCGCAGTTTCTGTTTCCAGCGTAGAGCGTCAATGGAATTACGGCCGACCCAATGAGCTCACCCTTGCTTTGTTGACTATAGTCGAACACCTGTGCGATCATGAATTGATTCTCCCACTCGTCCACCTTGAACTCAAATTTTTCAGGTGGTGACCAATGCGGGTCCAGGCTGCTTTTGACACACGAGCTCTTCTTGGATACGCCATCTAAAGTGAATACGACGGATGCGCTACTCTTACCACCAACTTCGTTCGTAATCGCCACGAGGTCGTGACATTTGAATAAGACCACTTTCACTGTAAATTTGTCTTCTCCCATTGTGTTAAATGTAAAGTGTAGTCAGTCGATCAATTACAAGCGGTGAACGACTTTGCGTGGTGTCGTTGACATGTCGTTCACCAATCGGGCTATTGTGCTTTTTCCAAATAAACATGTTTAACGACAACACTAATTTTAATGCTTACAATACAAATACAGTAGACAAGTCCAACCTTGTGGGTAGTTAAAATCCATTGTTGTGCTATCGTACGTAAAGTTTTCTTTTAAATAGTTGCTAATTTTGCTTGTCGTCACCATAGGATGACAATAGCGATGTAATGTTACGATACCAACAGCAGAATTGTGGCCATCGTTTAAATTTTGCTGGGTCTTGACGGTGTAAGTTGAAGTGCTAGTAAGTTTTTGAATTAATAACCTTTGTGATCTGAGCAGGCGAGACTTTGCTCTTTGTGGCCTTGTTTCGTGATCTACTGAGGTTATATTGTAACTCCGTGTGGCCATGCAACTAGGCCATAAAGAGCGGAGTCTTGCGTATATCATCGATCCATGAAATATAACAAAACGATCTATATCTAGACGCTAATTCATTACGCGATTTCTACAATGACTTGAGCCTTGATCGACACACTTCGATAAGCCATTTTAATCTATCTAATCCATATAATCACATCCATACTCGTTCCCCACCCGTCAGTAGTCATCATCATACCAAAATATGTAAATGTACTTAAGCAATGCTCGTGGCTGAACCGTGTGAGTGCGCTGCTTTAATCCATGGACTGGCAGCCGTTTATTTGGCATCAGTGACATGAAGAGGCTCGCGCGTACACTATTTGGCTCATTTGTCGTTTCAATCACTACTCGAGTTACAAAAATGCAGTTTCTCTATCTTCGAAATGCTGGGAAGTTCTAGATATCAGAGTATTTCGTACTGAAAAACATGAGCATTTCGATCAAACAAGTGCGATGTCACCTCATATTTGAAAGCTCGTCGGCCATTTGTTAACTTTTAGAGGTGCAACTGACTGATGCCGTAATAGTACATCATTGTAAAGTTATGACGAGCTGCCAAAATTTGTGTATAGCACGCAACGTGTCATCAACCATATACCTGTGCAACTATTTCTCAAAGCAGTAAATGTAGTAAACGTCAACTTGTCCAACGTTACGCAGTTTTCAGCAAACAACGAGAAATTGACAGAAAGGTTTTGAGGAATCTGATTGTCACTTTCCTGAGTGTGCGGCATTTTAAAGAACGTCAGTAACTCGTTCATGTCATCATCCAGCGTCGTGGCAGATAGAGCCATAGTAAAATGCTTACGGATGGCCGCGCCGCCTGAGCCGAACGCCCATCCACCGTACTAGCTTGTACACGTTGGAGTCTTTTTGTCTCATTCACGAGCTTTACTACTATGTTATTAGCATAACCATATCTATAGTATCCTCACATACGAATCCTACATAATATATAATGCAAAGACACGTACGGCTAAAGCGTAGTGTGATGTTATGACGGAAATTTTACCAATTGCAGACTGAAGTTATACAACTTTTGTAGCGTTCAACAATAAAGATGTAAAGTTGTATTTTTTTCAAAGGTATCCAATTGAATAGACCGCGACTATCCATGAATGATTTTAAGCATTGTTTAAACACATACCAGCCTTTCTTTTGCCTTCCCATCTTTCGTCAGTTTCAACTTCGTGATTTGTAACGGCAGTTCATTAATTGCGTCTATTCAAGACGTGTCGAATTCATTTATTGGTATTCAAGTACATCTATAGTATATTTACGATTGAGTTTCACCACTATGTCGTTATCGGACAAGCAAGCTATGATGTCACATTAATTTTTTTGCCACTGCACACTTGACTGACGTAATGCAGTTAGTACTGCTGCAGTGAACAACCTAAACTTGGCCAATTACTTTTCACACGTATGTGGTCATCCACCTCTGACACATCTACTTAGTTTCAAAACGAGACTGTAAAGAGTCTAAGCCAAGTTACTCGTATATAGATTAAGCTACAAGGCAAATAACAATAGTGTTGTTATTCTTATTAGTGCATTAGTAAGTGGATAGTTGTTCTTAAACACTGTGCTCGTCATTCGAGCTGTAAAAATGGTACTACCTCTTCAGACCTACTGAAAGGTTCTTGACAGAAGCGTAATGTGTCGTCCAGATCGCAAGCTGAGACCGAACAAGTCCTTGACGATTGCCACATGTACCTTCACTTTATCTGCAGTCAATGAATGTCAGTCATTCGTCGAGTTGACAGAAGCAAAGGAGGAGGTGGTGCCGTTATCATCAAGAGACTTTATAACTTTCTGACTGAATACTTTTTGATACGCATCTTCATATTAAACTTGATCATGAATTCGGATCGTTCATCTCAATCGGCCAGAATTCTTGGGCGCGTTCGGGAGGACGCAGCCGATTTGGCTCTAATGGTGACCACTGCTACCCATGATTGGAAGTTACTGAGCGATAAGAATGGTACGCAACTGTACGAGATGAAGGGTGAGTCTCTTACGAGCAAAGTGAGCACTGTTCGTACATTCGGCAATGGAGGAGGTGGCCATCCGTCCGAATTCTACATCGCTCGAGCGGCTACAACCGTCCAAGCCGACGTCAACACAATGTTGGACGTGCTACGAACTCATACGTCTAAAGACTTTCGTGCTGTCATGAAAAAGATTTTCGGCAAACAATTTGAGAGTGGAGCTATCGTGGATTCATTGAGTTGTACAACGCCAACCTCGTACGCACCAAGCTCAGATAATACGGGTAACAATGGGGCTCGGCAGAGTTCCACTGAAGACGACAAGTACAATGCCAATTGGATCACTTTGAGAGCCTTCACCAAGTTGGGCGGACTGGATGGTCAGCGAGACTTTACAATGGTCTGCTACCAGGACGTGTTTGAGCGAAGTTATACCAGCGACAGCCTTACGCGAAAAGGACGGCAAATCGCCAGAAATCCCCACCGACAGCAACTGATGACGGGGTCTCGACTTATCGGAGTGCATACGTTCTCAAGTATGAACTTTAAGGACATTCCCGAGTTGCCAAGGTCCTCAAAGACAGATCGCCTTCACTTCCGGAATTCAGGTATTGTCGTAGAAGAGTTGGTGGAGGAAGATGCTAGTGGTCCCTTGGTACGCGTGAGTTTGCTGCTGTCGTTGATGCCGTCGAAACTTGTGCTGAAGGAGCTTTCACAAAGTCCTCGTATGCGGGTGGCACTGGCTGCAGGTCATAAAGTGGCCAAAAAATACCGCAAATGGTTGCAGACACTAGCACTGGGCGTGAGCCACTTAGCAGAAGCAGCTAAACCTGCTGTCACTATTCAGCACTTGAGTACCATGACATGGAGTAATAGTGATACCTGCTTCCTGTGTCTCAAGACGTTCCGCACATTTCGGAGACGATATCATTGTCGATTTTGTGGCGAGGCTGTCTGCGGTTCATGCTCAAGCTTTGTAGATTTGTCGTCCTTTGAAGTCAGGTATGAAAGCAGTGGCAGCTCAAGCAATATCAAAGTGGGGCATTGTAAGCTCAATTTACAGGCGACTATCGATGGCAGTAGGTGGAGCGAAAATGCATCTCCTAAGACTTTAAGGGACAGCAATGAGGAGTTCTTTGATATTCGGGGATGCAACACGTGCGCGTCTGAATTGCAGATGAATATGGTCATTCGGAGCCAGACTCGAAATCTTCATAAGCCTATTCTCTACAGGAACAGCACCAGCAATAGGTTCTCACAACTTGCAAACGTATGCCTCGAGAGAAGAGGTGTAGAGAACAAGTTTGACCAAAACTCTGGCTATTGCAGCGTCAATGGCTCACCGCCACCATATTCAGGCCATGACAACGACTTTGAACACGATCGAGTGGCGCCTATGAATGCTGACGACTATCACCAGTGCTCAAGTCGAAAGCTGAGTTTCTCAACCATCAGTTGCAGTTCGTTCCCTGGTTTTTTGAATGATGAGCGTGCTCAACTAGCACTCGGCTCATCTAACAGTTCAGCTGAGACTATTGGCGATGCACCATTTGATGCGAGCTTAAACCGCAGATCCAGCTGCTTCGTGATGTCAGACACCTCGCACAATGAGTTGTTAACTCGTGACTCGGACATCTTGTCACTAAACGGATTGATGTTGTGCGCCAGGGAGTCAGCAACACAACCGGTTGTCATTGACGATGCTAAAGACATAGACCTTGCGTACAAACTTTATCACCAGCCTGCATGCGCACTTATCCGTGAAAGTTATGCCACGACTGCCGCTACGAACGAAGGAAGCACCCACAGTCGATTTTACTACTCAGGCATGACCCCGCAAGAAATTCAACTTGCTGAACAAGTCTTATGTGTAACCAAAGCAAGGGACACTATGCCAATGAATGACCGTATACCACAAAGTCCTCATCCTCAGGATCGACCAAGTTATGAACAGCGACCAACAAAACAGTCAATCAAGAAGGTTTACCACATGCCTCCAACACGACAAAGCCATTTGTCTTCATCACAGTCACAGAAATCGTCGTATTCATCAGGCAGCACACACAGCGACCTGATTCAATTGAACGCTCCCCTGAAAGCTCCAGTGACAACGTCCACCGACTTTGTTGTATTCAGTGGTAGCCGACAGGGAGAAATACCCAACCGCGAAGTGGGCGATATGATTTTGCTCGATTTCTGAGTACAATGTATCTACCGACACCCTTATGGTAATCACCTATAACCATGGCCGCAAGGAACGAACGTGCGCGGTGCTAAAGAAATAGACGTAATACCGTAGGCAACACTATCAAAATGCAAAAAGTGCAACGAGTTTAGCTCGCGCCCAATTTCCCGGTCTTCTTTAAGCTCTAATTGTATTTTTCACGTTCTGCCGGCTTCTTCGTCGAAACAAACCTCTTCCTGCCATCTATTCCTTCCGAAATTTCGGCGCCATTTCTATATTCTTCTGCCCTCCGACCTGCTTTTTCGTGTTGTTGTGGTGGTGTTGTTCGAAACATCAACTAGTTTTCTGCCTTACTACGCTCGTGCTGTTCGTATTTTCTTGCGGACGGCGCTCTCTTTTCACTTGGTAAGTCTCGTAAGAAGCTCTCAAACGTATCCATATAAAGAAACTTCAGCAAACTGACTTCCAAATGTAAAACCTCTTCGTCACTATCCTGTCGACGATAATTTACTCATACTTTTTATTTTTACTTATAAAATCTAAGTATTTTTGGTCGTCAGTACAGACATCCCTCCAATAAGTTATCCTCCGACAGGTTTAACCTCCGGTAGGTTATCAAATTAGATGGTCGCTCACTTTTAAGTTATTATCAGCTAGGGGGCAATATAACTTCAGAAATTATATTATTCTTGTTTTTTAGAAAACAAAACCTACATGCACAACATGTCGAGGGTAGTGTAGATGGTTAGTGCCAATCCTGAAGTTGAAGGTCGTGTAGGACTCTATAAGCAGCTTGGTGACTATTCATGTAACAGGGCATCTAGTTACACGTTAACATTAAGTAATATACCTAATGTAAAGTCTAAAAGTATCCATGATAGAGGCAACTAGTGGTTCGACTGCTTAAGCAGTCGACCAACCTCCTAACCACCCTCGCACGCGAAGGTAAGACGGTATAACCGCTTCCTCGCTTGTGATGAAGGTGTATGCTAGTAGCACGAGGCAACTTCGTAGAAGTGCCCGTCTACACTTGGTAGCACTTGTAGTCCTTCCCACGACCCGTCTCTCTGAGCGTGAGTGTGGTTAAGATGGACCTTCATATGGCCTGGAGTGACTTCCCTCACCTCTCCCAACATCATAGGGAGTTGGCAGAGCATATGGCGCAGGGACTTGGTGAAAGAGCCCTGGTCAACCTCTTGCATTGTCCTCTTGAGCAACATGTTGCTCAGTTGGAGCAATTTGAGGCGTTTGTGCTCGGATAGCGTAGAAACGCGTCCGAGGTAAGCAGCCAATCAACGGCTTAGTCCATCAATAAGCCTCAGGATGAGCTTAGGCTTGAGCAGGCACGGAATGAGGCGCTCAACAGAACTGTTGAGACGCTCTCGGCCCGGCCTAATCAACCGAGGCCCATTCGGATGGACCCTCCGAAGTTTGATAGAACTACCCCTTACACGATTGTTCACTGGCTATTAGCCGTGGAGCAATGCAGTATGGCGCAGCTCATCGAAAACGACACCAGAATGGTGTCGTATCCTGTAATGGGCTACATTACACACATAGTTAAAACAAATAAGCAAATACATATGTAGACAGGTGCTGGGCCCGAATAGCGGGCACAGCGTGACATTTATTATTGGTTTATTATTGGGGCCTAAAGTCCCAATATGGACCAATGATAAATCAACCTGAAATTGTGTGGTTCCCGAAAGGCGGGAACACTGTCGTATCTATTACGACTAAAATCTTCGTAATTAGTACGAATTAAAACCAAAATAAAAATCAGAGTTAATTTTACATAATACCGAATACTTGGGCTTGAGTCTTCCTCAAGCGCGCGTGTAAGCTAGTGACGGTACGTTCTAGCCCCGTTACACCTGGTAGCACTTTGTAGTCCTTCCTATGCCCGAGTTTGGGATGAGCGAATCGTCGTACTTTGACGCTCCCGATTTATATCTGGAGCACGCGACCTTCCCCCATCTTACTGGTGTTGAGTGGGATGCCCTTAATCGCCTCGCGGCGATATCAGGAGAGGCATTCGTCGTGTCGCTGATGAGGTCAGCGACCCCTGACGCGCAACGTCTCGCCATACATGAGTTTATGGCACGCGAGCTCGCCGAATCCAACCGGCGAGGCTTAACTCCCTCGCGCCCTTCACGTAATGAGACCGTGAAGATGGAAACCTCCTCCTACTCTAGGACCGGTTGTCGCTGAATCGGTGGTTCCGAGAAGTTGATATCGCCATCGCCTCGAGACTTCTTGAGGCACCCCAGGCGAAGGTCAACTTTCTTCTTTCCCGCCTCACCGGGAAGGCCAAGGAGTGGGCCCTTGGTAAGCTCGTTGTGGACGAGCACGCATTCCCCACCTTGGATACCATCCAGGACAATCTTCGTCTTGCTTTCGAGCCACCGCAAGAGGAGAAACTGGTGCGATCAAGATTCCTGTCGATGCGACAGGGTAAAATGGCGATGCGCGACTACGTACAGATGGCTAGGCATCTGGCGTCGTGTATTATCACGTACCCCATGGACATGTACACGCAGGTGAATGTCTTTGTGGATGGTATGCGTGAGGGGCAGACCCGCTTATCGCTGGAGCGCGCCGAGCCTGCCACATTGGAGGAGGCATTTGCCATCGCACTCCGTGAAGACTTTAGGGTCACAAAGGCATATGCCAAACCCTCGGTCGTCACCGTTCCCCGGCCTTCTGGTCCAGAACCTATGGAGATCGACGTGATTGAGTCGTCGGGTGACCGACGGCGTGTCATTTCCCATAAGGGTGACGTTCGCACCGTGCGTCAAATGGTTTGCGTTCGTTGCCGCAAGCCAGGACATCGCGCGGCAGAGTGCCGTGCGCCAGCGCCAATATCGGTGCAAGTAGTGGATGCCAATCATGAGGGTGCTGTACCGGCCGCACGTCCAAAAAACGGTCGGGACCAGTAGGTGCAGGGCGCCCTACTGGTTGGAACGGAGGTCCGGGTCCCCCGGTGGCAGCTTAATTTTCCAGTCCTCCTGCGCTACGCGCACGGTTAAATGCCACCACTACGAGTGGTGATTCACGTCTGATTATTGTCAGTTTACATGTCGCCGGCGTCCGGCGACCTCTGCGAGCACTCCCGGACTCAGGATCAACAACTAATTTCTTTCGTGAATCTTGTTTATCGATGCTGCCTCCCAGCATTCAGGTCCGTGAGGGACCTGGACAAGTCGTCGTCAAGTTGGCTGACGGGAAACCACACCGCGTATCGCGGCGCGAAGTGTCGTTGCCGTATACGTTTGATGGCTTTCGCAGTAATGATGATTTCTTGGTGATCGCAATGAATTATGCATTCGATTGCATACTGGGCATGCCATGGTTGGCACGTTATAAGCCCCAGATCGACTGGTTAGCCAGATCAGTGAGACGTCGACGCAAGTTCGATGTCAGTGAAGTGTTTACCCATCTCTTGGTATCTCCAAGTGACTGGCCGAACGTCACAGTCGTGGGTCGTGATTCCACGACGTTGGCGGTGCACAGAGCGAGCGATGGCCCTCTCTACACTGCTTGTGCTGTTCTTCGAGACACAAGTGACAGTGACTCCTCGCTACAGAGCGAAGAGGACGACGAGGACGACGCGGTCGAACAGGGGTTTCCGCGCGTCATTAATGCGGTTGAACAGGGGTTCCCGCACGTGAATGCAGTGGTTCAACCGGGGTTCCCATCTGCATCTATTGTGGTCGAGCAGGGGCTCCCACAAGGGCATTGTGATGACGAGCAAGAGCTCGCCAATGAGTGTGACGTGGACGGACAGGAGTCCCCACGCGAGAGCATGCTGGTCGAACCGGGGTTTCCATCATCACCCACTGTGGTCGAGCCGAGGTTCCCACATGGGCATATTGTGGTCGAGCAGGGCCTCCCGCACGAGTACAACGTGGACGGACAGGAGTCCCCACGCGAGAGCATGATGGTCGAACCAGGATTCCCATCATCACCCACTGTGGTCGAACCGAGGTTCCCACATGAGCATACTGTGGTTGAGCAGGGGCTCCCACACGGGTTTACGGCGGCCGAGCAGGAGCTCCCGCATCAAGTGTCGACGGTCGAGTTTGGGGTACTCCCGTCCAGTGTTTCCGGCATCTTGGATGAAGACATCCAGTGCCTAGAGGGGGGGGGGGGGTGATGGTTTATCACCTGACTGCGGTTCGCCAGCTTCGAGTAGTGACTCGAAGCACGATGGGGACAACAGCAACGAGAATTTAGCGTTGGAATGTGTCCACGCTATCGTGTACGTGGAAGGGAGTCCACAAAGGCTCCAATATATCGAGGTCGAGAGTCCTTCTCGTAATGCGTCTTCCATTACAAGTCTTCCAGGGCTTTCCTGGAAGCATTTCCTACGTGACCTTAAGGGAGGCACTGTGGAACAAGTGTGTCTAATCACCAACGAGGTGGTTACCGTGGCAAACGAGGAGCATATGGCGCGTCATCGAAGCGCTGGGCCGAAGTCTGCGCGTGAAGAAAGGTTTGCATCACAGTCATGGGAGGCCCTGCGAGAGTCTGGTAACCCCGTCTACGACATTGCTCGTGAGTATGCAGACGTGTTCCCGGACAAGATCCCGGCTGAACTTCCTGCGGACCGCGGTGTTCGGCACGAGATTGATCTCGTGCCAGGGTCGAAGTATTGTGTGACACGGCAGTGGCCGTTGCCTCGAGATCAAGTCGAAGCTATTGACGCATTCTTTGAAGGCCGCCGCAAAGCGGGTCACGTGCGGGAGAGTATCTCACCACATTCGAGTCCAACCTTCTGCGTGAAGAAGGCTACGGGAGGCTGGCGGATAGTGCATGCGTTCAATAAGTTGAATGATGCCACTATTCCTGCGCAAACGCCAATTCCCAGGAAGGACATGGTGCTGAATTCCATGTCAGGAAGTGTCATCTTCAGTGCCATCGACTTGACCGATGGCTTTTACCTGATTTTGATGCGCCCGAGCGATATCCCACTCACCGCGGTGAGCACCCCGAGTGGCATGTTATGGGAGTGG